TTTATCTGTCTGTCTATCTATCTATCTGTCTATCTATCTCTTTATCTGTCTGTCTATCTATCTCTTTATCTGTCTGTCTATCTATCTATCTGTCTATCTATCTCTTTATCTGTCTATCTATCTATCTCTTTATCTGTTTATCTATCTATCTATCTATCTATCTATCTATCTATCTATCTATCTATCTATCTATCTATCTGTCTGTCTGTCTGTCTGTCTATCTATCTATCTATCTATCTATCTATCTATCTATCTATCTATCTATCTATTTATCTGTCTGTCTGTCTGTCTATCTATCTATCTATCTATCTATCTATCTCTTTATCTGTCTGTCTATATCTATCTATCTATCTATATATCTATCTATCTATCTATCTATCTATCTATCTATCTATCTATCTATCTGTCTGTCTATCTATCTGTCTGTCTGTCTATCTATCTATCTATCTATCTATCTATCTATCTATCTATCTATCTATCTATCTATCTATCTATCTATCTATCTATCTCTTTATCTCTTTATCTGTCTATCTATCTATCTCTTTATCTGTCTATCTGTCTATCTATCTATCTATCTATCTATCTATCTCTTTATCTATCTATCTATCTATCTATCTATCTATCTATCTATCTATCTCTTTATCTATCTCTATCTATCTATCCTGTCTACTGCATGTATTTCTCCATCCATCCATCGTCTATCTATCTGTACGTTCGTATCCATCCATCGATCCATCCCAGTATACATTGAGTTACATGATAAAATTGATTAATTTAGGTTTTTTTGAATTTCTGACCAAATGTATGAGTAATAAGCCTACTAGTGACACTTGCCTTAGAAAAACGCAGCGTATCATATCAATACTGACAAAATCCTGGCATTAATGCCAGCAGACCTGCTTCAGACGGCCGTGTCTTTAAAGCTTCTCAGTTGGCACGGACCACCGGTGTCTAAATTAAGCCCTGTGTCGCGCATGGCACACTGCGGACCCCTCTACAACCCTCCTCAACCCCCCGCCATGGGAACTTTTGAGTTATAATGATGCGCTCGTCGCGACACAAAAGCTCTGACATCTGTCTCTCCAAGAGCCGCATTCTAAAGCTGCTTGTTTGTCCCATCTTTACATTTTTGAAAAGAAATCAAAACTAAAAGAAGAGTAGCGGAAAGAGAGGAGGGGTTTGTGATAGAGAGGGAGGGCTGGAGCATTTAAAACAAAGGCCTTTTTCTTCCTCCGAGTGTTTGCTGGTTAATAATCCAACCCTCCCATGCTGCGTTCCAGAAATTCAAAGCAGAGTTTCTGCTCATCTGCTCACTGAAGCTGGCATGCACCATTAATAAGAACAGAAGTACAGACCACATGCAGCCCTACGGGTGAAAGACACATCTAAGCCCCCTTAAGACTCTTCAAACATGATAATTCATCCATTCATCACTAAATTATGTGAGGACAGAAACTCTCAGAGTGTCTGTAAAATAAACTCGGTCGTAGTATTCAAAGCTTCACCTTCTAAACGTTCACCATCGCTTGATTTAACGGAGTAAGATCACGGCGTTCAAATAGCCTACACAATTAAAGTGGCTGATATTAATATTAAATATTATTCAAGCAAAGTTGCTTTATCTGCTCATTTACTGAATGATTTACTAATTCATATGGGAAAAAATGAAATTAAACTATTTAAAATTATTATATAGAATTAAATTATGAAGTCAGTACAAAAGGAAAATAAACAGATAAAACATTATATATCATGTTTTGATCCATCTATCCATCCAACTATCTATCTATCTCATGTTTTCTCTGTTGTACTTATTGTATTCTTTTTGTACAAATGTAGGCTATGTGATTAACTTGCCAGTAATTCTTTGTGATGAAGTCAGTACAAAAGAAAAATAACAGATAAAACTTAAATTATAAATTATATATCATGTTGTGATCTATCTATCTATCTATCTATCTATCTATCTATCTATCTATCTATCTATCTATCTATCTATCTATCTATCTATCTATCTATCTATCCATCTATCCATCTATCCATCTGTCTCCTGTTTTCTCTGTTGTACTTATTATATTCTTTTTGTACAAATTTATATGATTAACTTGCCAGTAATTCTTTGTAATTTGTGTTGTATTGTATGTCCTTCTTTCTTTAAAGTAATTCAATTAAATAAATATGCAATGTGGCCAAAACGGCAGCCAGAGATTTAAAATTGGCCATCATTTTTGTTTTCTAGTATTGTCCGGACTCTGGGATGAACAATACCAGCGGGACCATATCCATTTAAGACCTTAATTTCCAACAATAGGATCCCACTGTGCCGCTAAACTACCGGAAAAGATTTAAGGGTCCAGCATTCAGGACACACAAAACCTCTGAGGATTGAAATAGCATTGTTAAAGGCCCCCTGAGGTGATGATTAAACTCCAAACGAAAATGATCAGGGAGGAGCGAGAGAAAGAGAGACGACTCATCAGTCCCACAATACTGACACAAACTGCCCAACACTCAAGAGGAAAAAATACACATTTCTCATTAAAGGCACAGTTCCCCAAAAATGAAAATGATGACAGAATTTTCATTTTTGGGTGAACTATCCCAACAGCACAGAGCTGCACAAACTGGTTTCTTAAACATGACAGTGAGTTCACTAAGGAATGTTTCCAGCAAATTGTTGAATCTGTGCCACGAAGAATTAAGGCAGTTCTGAGGGCAAAAGGGGGTCCAACTAGCAAGGTGTAGGTAGCCTACCTAATAAAGAGGTCGTTGAGTGATCATAATTTCCTTTGACACTTTCATTTACACCAGCAGAGGGCGTAATGACGTCAGCACCACGCGTCCGTTTGATGACGTCAGAGGTCACTGGGTTGTCATCAAACATGGCGGCCTCCTTGCTGAGCTGCAGGACAGGCTTATTCTTTGGTGTTAGTAAATTAAACTCCTTTATACCGGCTGTAGTCCACCAGATCGCGAACTATAACCCAAGACCCCTCTGGTTGAATATAAAGAACCCTTATATACCGAATAAAGAGAGCGAGAAGACGCCCGACTGGCAGAAGACTGAGAAATATGATCGCAGACTGTTCGGCCGCTATGGACGCGCGTCAGGGATTGACCCGGCCAAACTCTGGCCCTCTCACGCCCGGCTGGAGGAGCTGGTGGCCGAGGAGAGAGAGTGGCACCCTCCGGTCGAGGTGATGCTGGCAAACATCGCGGCCAGGGAGAAGGAGAAGGCGCAGAAGCGGATGGAGAGGTAAAGTGAATCTAGACTAACGTTAGTTTCTGTCGGATGTTTGCTGTCAACCGTATTCAACATACACTGTTGGGTGTATTCAACTAACTCCACATATTCATTGATAAACGGTTCACCCCAAAATGAAAATTGTGATTATTTACTCACCTTTACGTTGTTACAAACCCGTTATGATTTGTGTTTCTTACAATGTCCGAGGTTCGGTCTCCACACATGCAGCGATGGAGAGACTGGAGCTTTCAAACTCAATAACCTTAAAAGTTGGCTAATCATCTTATTATTTATTGTTGTGTGGCAGTTGACAAACATTATGCTGGTAAAAGTAATTCACGTGATTTATCATCTATATTCCAAGTCTTCTGAGCCCGTTTATGAAATTGATTTATGTGACGTACAGACCGAAATTGAAACCGTTATTCAGTGAGAAATTACTAAAAAACATTCAAATTTGACGGTTAGGACGTCTTACGAGTTATGACGTCAAATGTTATTGGTTCCCGCGTGTGCCGTGTCCAATCGCTTTAAAAAAATCTTGATGTATTACAATTAAATTGTTTTGATTCTTTTATAAGATGGAAACATTCTTATTCTTTATAGTTTATTTAATTTAAGATGCAATTTGTTGTCATTTGTTCTTAAAGGAATAATTCCCCCAAAAATGAAAATTATCCCATGATTTACTCACCCTCAAGCTATATACTAGGTGTATATGACTATCTTCTTTCAGACGACGAACACATTCTGAAATTTAAATTAAATGTAATAATATAATAATAAAATAGTTTACTTCCTCCTGTAAATAAATCAGGTAGATATTTCTCCCTTGTTTTTAATTTAAAATCATTTGCAATGCTTCATTGGATCGTAGTTCTTTTCCTCACTAAAACTTTTTGCTTTGTTTCCACACAGAGAGAAGACTATTGCTGCAAACATGGCCAAAATGCCCAAGATGATCGCAGACTGGAAAAAGCAGAAAAGGGAGGCAAAACAGAAGCAAAGAGAGGAGAAAATAAGGCGGGACAAGCTGCTGGCCGAGGCGAGAGAGCGCTTTGGGTATGCGCTGGACCCCCGCAGCGCCAAGTTCAAAGAGATGGTTGCTGAAATAGAGAAGGAGGAGAAGAAGAAGAGGAAACTTCTGAAACGCAGTAAGAGAGAGGAAGATCAGGGCTTGCCCACAGCGACGGCTGAATCCAGCCAATAACCCTCACTGCCCAGAACAAGGACTTTTATACAGTGCTACTGTACTATATTGTAAAATTGGTTTCTTTGTACATGTCATTGTGATTATCGCACATTATTGTTTAATTAAAATCAGTCATACTTCAAAATAAACTGACTTCAGAAAATATACATGCATGTCTGACTGAAAACCTGTGATATTGAAAGAGCTTCATTAATAAATGTGATAACATAATTCCTTCTTAAATTGAGAACATACTTTTTAGGACCAATTTAGCTTATGCATGAAAAAGCAAAAGGAAAACTGATTTATTCATGCTGTAACCCATTGCATTGATTGTACGACCGGAAAAAAAAACATGCATAAATTATACATTTCCAAAATTATTTTAATAGCAATAATAATAAACATTAACTACTAATAAAATATATTGCATGACAAAAATAATAACCACAGTATTCGACAACTGAGTATTTACGATGCATGCTTGGGAATTATTTGATTATTATAAATGTTCTTGATTCATTCAAGAAAGGAATATAATATTCAATCCCACACTCAGCCTTACAATAATCAACATGTTTAATCATTAGAACTTAGTCTAAAATTGTTGGTCCAATTTATTTTTAAACACCGTCAGTTTTCCAGCTATTTTCCCTTATTAATTAAACCTGTACAGGACTTGGAAAAAAAAAAATACAGGAAAAAATATATAAATTTGATATCTAATACTCCCTAAGATGTACACTTTCACACAAAAGGAGCTTAAACCCTAGTTTACATTAGAAATATCCATTCATTATTTCTATTTACTAACTAAAATAAACATCAATTTGGCAACAACAAAAAAAAAGCTGGAGAAATGTACAAATGAGGTTTTTAGTGTCTCCTATAATAACACAAGGCAGTGCCACTGCATAAAAACCACACTGTGTCTTTGATCTTTCATATTCTCCCCATAGAGTGACCTGGTCATCAGAGAAGAGACGCTGTTGATTTAGGATCATCTTTCCTCACAAAGATGTTATTTCATCTTGGTCATTGGTGTCAGCCTTAAGTTTGATCAGGGCTGCATGGACCCTGAACTGCGTACGAGACTCCATCGAGTACTCTTTGTAGTTATTCCTGACAGGAGAGACAACAACAATGTGACATTTCAGACTGGAGCAACAACGAACCAGTAAAAACGAGTATTCAGTGTGTGAACTGTACTGGTTTTCTCACTTGGCTTTCTGCAGGAGTTTGATGGCTTGCTCTTTCCTCCCCGTGTCTATGCACAAGAGACTCGTCTCCAGCAGAGCATTAGGAACCAGATAATGGTCAAACTTCAGCTTCTTTTCACTGTTAAAGACACAGACACATCTCAAACTCCATCCTGAGACAGAACAAGCATTTGTGAAGGGCAACTGCATTAATACAGGAGCACTGGCCTGCTGTAAACCTGTCTGAAACAGTCCTCTGCCGCCTGCATCTGGCCTTGGTTCTTCAGACACAGGCCTTTCAGAAGCAGGATTAAACATGTGTCGTCCACACTGTACTCGTTCTCTACACATACAGAAAGAATGAGTGTAAAATTATATACAGGATACAGCATACTACAGTATAGGTAGGTTATATAAACAATATAGAACTACTGTATAAAAAGCAACTGCAACTGTTTGATTACCAACATTCTTTGAAATATCTTTTGTATTCAACAGAAGACAGAAACTCATAGCTTTAGAACAAAGTAAATGCTGACAGAATCTTTATTTTTGGGTGAATTATCCCTTTAAGGCCTGCTATTTTAAAAAACAATCAAGTTCAACTTTATTAAAAATATATTCAAAATAAAAAAATTATATTTTCTCTGCTACTTCTGCAGTAATGATGACAAAAGGTGTAAACCAACATGATTTTTAGCAGTTACTGGCATTTTAATAATTGTTAATAATTACAAATTATATATATATATATATATATATATATATATATATATATACATACATACACACACACACACACACCTTGTTACACCGTACACAATATAAAACAACATAAAAGTCAAAGTCATCTTGTGCCTCTTAGAATTTTACTTTTGGAAGTTTTAAAAAAGAATATAAAGAAATTAATGAATTTATTATGAAATATCTAAACATGAGGATAAATGGGTAATACAATCAATAATTTGATTTTAAAAACAAACTAATTGACCATGGAATATTTAGCAATTGATTATACAGAAATGATGGTACATATGTTTTTAAATATATGATTTCGAATGAATTTCCACTTGAATTCAAAAAATGTATTTGTCTAAAAATTGCTTATTATTTTACCATCTATTGCTTTATAATCCACAGTCTGCATTTATTTAACATGAAACCTTAAAACCTATTTGGAACATTTTTTTTAAAATATATCTCGACATATTCTATAAGAGTAATAGCAGAGAGTGATATTGCTAAGATTAGCAGAAATGTCAACTGATGTAATTTTCCAAAATACAGAGGAAAGTGTGTATCATTACCCGGAGCCGCCTGTAGGGTGCGCTCCGCCTCCAACAGCGTCTCCATCATGCCCTCGGTGAGCTCAGGCTGTTTGCTGATCATGGAAAAGCCATTCCACATGTACATCATCTCCTGAAATATGAAGCACATTAGTCAAGTATAAATATTGTCTTAGAAAATAAAGGGAAAAACGAAAGTGTACTGAATGTTATTCTTACAAGCACAGGAACAGGAAGTCTGATAGGATTGCTGCCTTTGTACCGTCTTGCTTTCCGAATGGCAAACTTCTCTGTGGGCGGAGATTTACCGGCTATCTTCTGTTTGTATGTTGGTACCTGTCTGAGAGTGAACAGGAAGTTAATGTCTGTTTTGATTCATATCATACTGTACCAAATTAACCCACATACAGAAAGACTTTATTTTTTCATGAAAGCCTCATCTGTCACCAGTCTTGGCAATGCAATCGCATGTGTGTTTACCTAAAGAGATCCACCTCATTATCCCCGAACGGCCGGGATTCTGAGTCTGGAAGCATGCTGAGATAAGCCGCCTTCATGTACACGTACATGGCCTGAGAGAGAAAGAGAGAGACAAGCATAATAATCCTTCTGTACACTGGAAACACACTGTACGTAATCACAACCAGCCAGAGAACCAACCAGTCCAAACAAAAACCTGGCAAAGACATAAGCCCACAAAGCCAATTTACACAGCTTACACATGGCAGTTTGTCTAATCGCTGCGATATAACAAATGTAGCATAACTTCAATTATTTACAAAAATACAGTGCAATCCCAGGCTTTACACCTGTACGGTTTGACTTCTTGTTTCTGAAGAGGAAGCCTGTCTGCATTTAGACCAGAGTTGTTGGCTAACGCTCCTGTTGGCTCACCAACTGCTGAGAACATTACAACACTCATTAAGAAATCGGTCATTTTGCCCTTTGTTTTACGTTTTACAGTTTTCTGACTTCGTGAATATGGACATTCCAGTGAGTACAAGTATTCACACTCATGTACCGGTAAGTGGAAGAAATGTAAACCTTCCTAAACTTAATTTCTTCACAATTTTAAATTCAAATACTAAGTAGAAAAATGAAGTAGAAACTGTTCCTCTGTGTCAAAATATTTACTATTTTAGTGCTGTCCTGTAAAATAAAAATAATAATCATAAAAATATAAAAAATAAAATAATTTTTTGTTAGTAGTGTGTGTGCCTTAAGAGGTTGGTATGTTTCCTCAGATGTCTTCAATTGTGTGTGAATTTATATATATATATATATATATATATATATGGAAATAGATGCCTGGTAGTGATGTCTAAATCTAAATACTACAAAAATGGTTATCTGGCTTTCAGTTTAAACACCTTTAAAGTGGGCAAAACATGGGAAGCAAAATGCATTGCTTTCTAGTTTGTATGACACACAATTTAAACACGCTTTCCCCCCACTATATATAAACTCACTTGATTTACATTCTGGGTGGAGGCCATTTTAAACATGTGACACAGAAATGTCTTGGCATCTATACAGATCACACTTATACAATCATGACGTGTGTTTCTCGGACAGCAAAAAATGTAATGTAAATGAAATTCTAGATTTACACTAAAACATTATATTTCAGGTGATTAAATCATTCTCATTGGGCCTTAATCATGAAACACAACCAGAACAAACTCTATGTGAACGCTTTGAATCAAATGTGATAATTTGCACAATGAATATTTTGTCATCTAAGTCATTTGAAAATTACAATTGAACGCTTAATTGTAATAAACTCGAAATCGCAATATGGCTTTCTGCTATTGTCAGATCGCAAAGGCAGCAATTTGATGAAATAAATGCGCTGCGTGTTTCAGAGTGAAGCACGGCACTGTGTTCTCGTCTCTGATGATGTGTTCACTGGCGTGAGGGCGGGGCAACCTGTCACTCAGATGAGATCCACCAATAGCAAACCACACAACCATTCAATCAATTTCCCATGAATAAAAATCAAGCCCCGCCCAGCGGTTTTCTATCAAAATATAAGTTTGATAAGTTTAACATTTTAAAATAAAGAAAATAAGACAGCCATAAAAATTTCTGTTGTAATGTGAAAAAATTATATTATTTTTCTTAAATTATCCGTTGTCTTTATTTCACGGTGAAATATTACAGTAATATTTCTTATTTTGTTTTTATTTAGTACTTTTGATATAGTAGTAGTACTAGTAATAATTATTATTATTATTATTTAAGCCCTATTAACATTTTCCCCCGAAATGTGCAGCCCTATCTGAAATGTTATTTTCATGTAAAATGCAGACTAGTTACACTCTTCGTTCTCACCTTAGACCAGCGGCTCTCCTGGCTGAGCAGGTCTGCGTAGAAGTACGCCATCTTCCAGTGTCTCTTAAAAGTGAAACACCACATCAGCTCCCAGTAGCACATGTGATGAAACTGTTTCCAGACCTGCTGGGCCTTACAGCCGTCCTCAAACAGCGCCACCGCCTGGATAAGCAGGGGTACAATTATAAGGTTAGTCAAAATTTCTTACAAAACATAAGTTTTGCATGACCACTTTCCACCTCTCTCTGACCCTTGTTTTTTTAAACCACAGTTCAATTGTATTCCAACCACTCTGAAGTCTTTAAAAAGGCTATGTTATGGCTTCTTCAAAGTCTTGATTTTGTTTTTGTGGTCTACTAGATTAGGCTTACATCCTTGTTCAAAAACACATTATTTTTCACATATTTTCCATTATTGCAGCACCTCTCTTCTCAGTCTGTCAGTAACGCTCTGTTTAGTTCCTGTCTCTATGAAGCCCCTCCTTCTGAAAAGCTCAGTGTGCTCTGATTGGTTGGCTGGATCAGTGTGTTGTGATTGGTCGGCTGGATCAGTGTGTTGTGATTGGTCAACTGCTTTGTCCCGCCCCTTACCATAATCATGAGTTTTAACACACTACTAACGTAAAACAACCAGGCCTCGTCCCTTTATTTTGCGAATTATTTAAATGAGGAATATTGTGACACTGTTTGTTCCTGGAAGAAACTCAAAACTACAATGGAGGCATTTCAGTGTAAACAGTGTTTACTGATATAGAGAATAACTCCCTCTGGAGTGACTTTGTAACTTTGCAGACGTTTTTCATGATTAAACAGCAACATTATACACTAAAAAAAAGTTGAACATGTAAAAAATAAACAATAGGTCATCTTTAAAATCATCAAAATAGAGAATAAAATGCTATGTGGTCAGATTCGACATGAAACTACTAATGTTTCAGTATTCACCACTTATGAATTCTGGTAAATGTTCTCCTCTTGTTGCTTACCTCATCAATGTTGCCCTTTATTTCTTCTGCCCGACCTGCAAAGAAAAGGAAAATCGCTCCCTGGAGAGATAATCAGAAAATGAGCTTCAATAAAAAGAGGTCGACCAGCATGGGTTTCTTTCCGGTTAGGGTTTGTATAGCAACTTGGCTGCAGCTGTTAACGTGGACATTTAATTGGATAAACATCTGTATTACCCTAAATAAAAATGAGTCATCATGGGGTGTTTTTCTAGAAGAGAAAGACTGCAAATTTTCAAATGTTCATATCTGTCAAGTGTAATTTGTCAGCTAGTGCAGTTTAGTTTAGTGTAGTTTAGTTGTGTAGTGTTGTTTAGTTGTGTAGTGTAGTTTAGTAGTGTAGTTTAGTAGTGTAGTTTAGTAGTGTAGTGTAGTTTAATGTAGCTGTGTAGTGTAGTTTAGTAGTGTAGTGTAGTTTAGTAGTGTAGTTTAGTGTAGTAGTGTAGTTGTGTAGTGTAGTTGTGTAGTGTAGTTTAGTAGTGTAGTGTAGTTTAGTAGTGTAGTTTAGTAGTGTAGTGTAGTTTAGTAGTGTAGTTTAGTGTAGTAGTGTAGTTGTGTAGTGTAGTTGTGTAGTGTAGTTTAGTAGTGTAGTTTAGTAGTGTAGTTTAGTAGTGTAGTTTAGTAGTGTAGTTTAGTAGTGTAGTTTAGTGTAGTAGTGTAGTTGTGTAGTGTAGTTGTGTAGTGTAGTTTAGTAGTGTAGTGTAGTTTAGTAGTGTAGTGTAGTTTAGTAGTGTAGTGTAGTTTAGTAGTGTAGTGTAGTTTAATGTAGCTGTGTAGTGTAGTTTAGTAGTGTAGTTTAGTAGTGTAGTGTAGTTTAGTAGTGTAGTTTAGTGTAGTAGTGTAGTTGTGTAGTGTAGTTTAGTAGTGTAGTTTAGTAGTGTAGTGTAGTTTAGTAGTGTAGTTTAGTAGTGTAGTGTAGTTTAATGTAGCTGTGTAGTGTAGTTTAGTAGTGTAGTTTAGTGTAGTAGTGTAGTTGTGTAGTGTAGTTTAGTAGTGTAGTTTAGTAGTGTAGTGTAGTTTAGTAGTGTAGTGTAGTTTAGTAGTGTAGTGTAGTTTAGTAGTTTAGTAGTGTAGTTTAGTGTAGTGTAGTGTAGTGTAGTGTAGTTGTGTAGTGTAGTGTAGTGTAGTTTAGTAGTGTAGTGTAGTTTAGTAGTGTAGTGTAGTTTAGTAGTTTAGTGTAGTTTAGTAGTGTAGTGTAGTTTAGTAGTGTAGTTTAGTAGTGTAGTGTAGTTTAGTAGTGTAGTGTAGTGTAGTGTAGTGTAGTTGTGTAGTGTAGTGTAGTGTAGTTTAGTTGTGTAGTGTAGTTTAGTAGTGACATGAACTAAATGCCACAAAAGTCCAATTTTCATTTTAGAGGGTCTTTAAAGCAACTTATTAGAATTAAACCAAATCCTTCACATGAACATGAGCATGTGAAGCAGAGAGAAGCAGAAGCAGACACATACCCGTGGGTATCGCAGGCGAAATGGCTTCAGTAGTCTCTCTGCCTCCTCCACCTCGCCCCCCTCGCCAGTACCTACACAAAACATCACTCTATTAATAACAATACAAATTTCAAAGAATTCTATTATTTCAGTATATACACTAACGTTCAAAAGTCTGGGGTCATTAAGATTTTTTAATGTTTTTTAAAGACGGCTGCATTTATTTGAGCAAAATTACAGTAAAAACAGTAATATTGAGAAAAAAATATTACAAAAAAAATATTTTTTGAATATATTTAAACATTTTCAGCATCATTACTCCAGTCTTCAGTGTCACATGGTCCTTCAGAAATCATTTTAATATGATGATTTGCTGCTCACGAAACATTTCTGATTATTATTAATGTGGAAAACAGTTGTGCTGCTTCATATTATGTTACATTTTGTTTCAGGAATCTTTGATGAATAGAAAGTTCAGAAAAATTATTTAAAATATTTTATTAAGACATTTTTAATGTCTTTACTGTCATTTTACATTTTTTTATCAATTTCTTTAATTAAACTTTTGAATGGTAGTGTGGTACCATAATATAAATGGTAAATTATATTAAATAACATGTTTTTTACATACATAAAAGTCAAATGTGTAATAAAATATTTAAATGTGTATATATATATATATATATATATATATATAAATAATTTAAATATACATCTAAATATTTTATTATTAAATTGTATTATATCCATCCATCTACCCAATTGTACACTAAATTATTGAAATGTAGTACTATCCCAAATAGTAATTATAAATTATCCATTAAAGTTGCACAATTAACTAAAGAAACATAACCAAAAATGTCTGATTTATGTGGATATCAAATGCATAATTCATCACAAATACATATTACCTAAAATAAAGGAGAGGAAGGTGTAGAAACAGAGCAGGAGGAGGGCACACAGCATAGAGCGCAGGGTGTGAGAGGTGGCTCCGGTGTACAGCTGAGAGATGCCAAATTCCTACACACACAAATTAAGAACACCATTAAGAAAAGAATTAACACATGACAAATATAAGAGTGTAATTTTTACTTCAATTCAAATTCGAGACATCTGAAGTCAAATTTTAAAAACCTTATCTCCAGAAAAGCCTGCAAACTCTAGCAGCTTGAGTATCCGTGCAGGAAACAGGGAAAGAGTCTGTGTGAGAGTGGAGAACAGACACGATTGACAGTCTGGAGTTTATTCATAGGAACAGAGACGCAATATCACACACACAAACATACCAAGTTGAAAGCCCCGATCCCAAAAGAGACTCCGCCCTCTAAATGCTTGTGGTTTGGTCCTTTGAAAGTTGTATCTGATTGGACGAAGGCGTGCAGCTCCCTGCATGAAAAACATTACGTCATACACAGCTGACAGATTCGCTGAATAGTTCAATTCAAGGGCATGATGTTGGTGCACGAATGGGAATCAACGATAGGTTGTTTCAATTGGTTTAAAGGGATAGTACACCCAAAAATGTCATTGTCATCATTTACTCACCCTCAAGTTGTTCCAAATCTGAATGAATTTCTTAGTTCTGTTGAACACAAAGGAAGATATTTTGAAGAATGTTGGCGTCCGTCCATAGTAGGAAAAAAAAAATACTATGGAAGTCATCGGTGCCCAAAACGGTTTGGTTACAAAAATTCTTCAAAATATCTTCATTTGTGTCCAGCAGAAGAAAGACATTTATACTTGTAATAATACAACTTGAGGGTGAGCAAATGATGACAGAATTAAACATTTTGGGGTGAACTATCCTTTTAAAAGGTGCAGGTGTCTTAATGGCACAAGATTTCTTTCACTTGCTTGCTAAAGACTTACTTGTATATGAGGTAACTGTTCCGTACTTTGATTCCTCCTTTAATAAAACCCACCATATTCTCATCCTGTCAACAAACAGAGAGAAATCAGGTGCAAATTTGAGCCCTGCACTCTTTCAAAAAGGTTCAATGGGGTTCTATGTTAAACCACAGAACCCTTTCTGCCAAAAAAGTCTCTATATTAGATGAAATGTCTAAAGAGTGGTGCAGAGATTATGTATTTCTGTAGGCCAAAGCCCAGAAACGAGTTAGCATTGTAGCAAATCTGGTTCCATCGTCCCCAAGTCAATGGTATGTTTTTTTAACAGGGTTTTGGTTAAACGCCTGAAATAATGTCTGCGGTGAACACAAGCTCAAAATATTTTTATGTTTTATTCTACGACATAACACACCAGTTACACTTTTTATTGAAAAAGTCGCTAAATGTGACTACAGAGGTTGTTCGGGACATTAGGGTATGTTTAATTCGTAAAATTTAATTATGATTAAAAAATCAATTAAATTAAAACTAAATCCATAAAATGATACCATGATGGGAACCCCTAAAATGTTCTATATATCGAGGAGCCTTTAAAGGAACCCTTTAAGGATCTATATAGAAACTTTTCTTCAAAAAGTGTGAAGTAGGACGGAGTGAAAAGTGGCCCTCACTAGGGGTTAAATTACGATATAGGCGTCTCACACCTCTAACACACCATAAATAACACCTGAGATTGTCTGCGTGTGAGTGATTGTGTCTTGAAATGTGTCAAACCTGTAAGAAGGTGAGAGCGGCTCTGTGTAGTAAACACTCGGCGTAACACACTTCAGCATGGAGATGCTCTATAAAACAACAAATAAAAATTATTCTGAGCTTGTTTGTGAAACATTTCATCTTAAAATTGTCATTATTAATGGCACCTTATACGAAATGTTAACTGTTAGTTTAACACTAGCCTAAAATTCTTTAGACATAACAGTAGGTTTGTTTGAGTCTTATTTCTCCTGTAATAATCACGCGAGACGGGAAGAGAAAAAGGCACCTTCTGTGAGGTCATCATCATTTGCTCCTCGACGACTCAGACTACCGGACTTCTTACGGAACCTGAGAGAGAACAGCAAGAAGTCAAGATATACGTGAACAAACACACAATGATGATGTCTAACATACGTCTGTACAACCACACTTGACCTGACTAACATCAGCCAAAAGCACTTACTTGTGGAAGATGAGGGGGAAATTGTTAATAATATCATAACATTATTTCTTGAGCAGCAAATCAGCATTAGAATGATTTCTGAAGCATCATGTGACACTGAAGACTAAATTACATTTTAAAAATAGTAAAATAGCAAACTTAAATTGTAATATTTCACAATATTACGGTTTTTACTTCTTTCAAAAGCATTACAAAAGCTAGTATTGCATCTTTTCAAATTGACAAATAAGCATAAATATTTAAAAATGTAAATAGATAAATGAATTATAATTTTTTTTTTTTCAAATACATTTTTATAACTAAATAAATAGTCATTTTTATGGACGCTTGTTTACGCCACTAAAAAAAAAAAAAAGGTAATTGTGACTTCATCTCACAATCCTAGCTTTTTTTTCTCAGAATTGCGTGATATAGTCACAATTGAGTATTTTTTTCAGAATAATGAGTTTATAACTCGCAGTTCTGACTTCATGACACTCAATTGTGAGAGAGAAAAAGTCTGAATTACGAGAAAAAAAGTCTGAATTGTGAGATCTAAACTCGAGAAACAAATTCAGAATGGCGACTATTTCTAGCAATTCTGAATTTTTGTCCCGCAATTGCTATGGAGCTAGAAATGTGTCTTTATTACATGCGAGAAAATATATGATCTGAGAGAGAAAAAAAAACTTTTTTTAGTCTCAAATATTATTTTTTGCTATTGGTATGAAAACCTTTTCTCTCAAATATTCTTTTTTCTCTCATGAAATGCTTTTTTGCTATCAGTGTGATAACTTTTTCTCTCAAACTTTTTTTTTCTCTCAGATCATTTATTTTCTCGCATGTAATAAAGACACATTTCTAGCTCCATAAATTGCTAGTTTATACTTTGCAAATCTGAGAAAAAAAAAGTCAGAATTGTTAGATAAAAATATCGCAATTATCTTTTAAAATGTTTTATTCTGTGGCAGAAACAAGCTTCCATAAATTTCCAATGATTTTAACCTATGAAATAAAATTGTATATGCTAATTGCTTAATTAATTTACCAACTGACGTAAAACATGTTACTGAACATTGGATATTCATATTTAACAACATATTTAATTTCAGTAATGTAATTTGAAATAAGTCTATTTATTTGTCAATTTGTAAACTCATTTATGAATTTACACTTCCTTTAAAATTAGGTTCTTTTAGGAGGCTCTCTTACGATTTAATCTGAGCGACGAACATAAGTATATACTTCAGCACAAACTAACATCACTCTCCCAAGAGTTTAGGAGGAAATCACAGAAGGATCTTCCTTTATGACTCACTCCTTCTTAAGCAAACCGAAAGTGAGCTGATGTGTGACCATTGCTACACCCACATACGCTCATCTGGATTAGCACGCATGGTAACATGGTGTGTGTGTGTGTGTGTGTGTGCAAGGACACATAGGCCTGTGCATCTCTTCTACTCCATTTAATCTACGTTATGCAAGGCCAATAAAAGTCCTCATTAGACATGACCAGCTGTCTGTCATTTAAAGCCACACCGTTACATCTCTATGCAAATACAAGCAAATGTAAACGCTGCAGAACTGGGTCAGCTGACATGGAAATAACCCCATTTGCCTAAAAGTTAAAAGGTCAGAGGAAAAGTGTCTCCATGACAGGAACGAATGCATTGTTTTGGCTCTCCTTCTACCTCTGGCACACCTCCTGCGCTCTCTTCATGGTGTTCCCAGCATGCACTATGTCGTCGTGTTGGAAGGTCATCATGGCCTGCATCTCTAATACTGTGGCATAGATCAGAGCGTGATACATGCTCTCTTTAGACCTGGAATACAACACAACACATGCTTTTACACTCGCAATGTGAGATCGCACTTCACAACCAGAGAAGGATAATGCCTTAAACTTTCTCTATGCAAGAATGCGGCTACATAAACTCGATTTCACATGATGTCTCGCATGGAGAAAGCAATTTAGCAAGTCTTTCGGCTATACGTTGATGAGAATAAGAGCGCTCTGTGTGTGGGAATATTGTCAGGCGTGAGGGTGTGTGATCTTTAGGTAAACATCCTGGAGAAGGGAGGGAGCCTGACGCAATTCTCGATCACAGCTGGAGTAAAGCATGCTATCTTGGGATGACATCTACAGTATAACAAGTACTTCACAGGGGAGCACATTTAAAGCAGCAAATGACTAAATTTGCTGGTGCATCTGACAAGAAAAAACAAAAACCTTTGCAACATGGGCTTGGTAGATACCACACCTTTACTAAACACCTCACCTGCTCTTAAAAATACAGATACTGGAGGGGTGGAGAAATGGAGGGAGAGAAAGATAATAAGACTTCTCTCACCGTGGCCGTAGTTTCTCCAAACTCTCATTAAAGTGGTTGTTGAGGAACAGATCCAAGGCCTCCATGCATTCATCAAGACAGGCCTGTAGGGAAAACTGTCTGGAGAGCACACACACACACACACACACACACACGATGAGTACATGACATAGACTTCAATTGCTTTTCTATTAAGCTAATTCTAATGACTACAGATTAGTAGTTGATATGGATTTTTTTAAAGCCAGAATCTAAAGTACACACTGTTCAATGACCAATATAATTTATGATGTTATATCATTTAATGATAGCAAAGAGACATGCACACAATATATTTATTTATACATTTTTAAGGATCTGTCAATAGATCATTTTCCTAGAAACTATAACAATGCTTGAAATACATAATTACATTATATGTAGATTGTGTAATTTCATATGAATTTTTTATTTATATTTTAATGTAATTGTTTATTTCTTTTAAAGCTTTGTTAATCGATCATTTTCCCAGAATTTATTTTTTATTTTTCGTGTGGGGCAATTATCAATTAACAAAGCTTTAAAATTAATAAAAAATTAATTAATACAGTACCAGTCAAAAGTTTGAAAACATTACTATTTATTATGTTTTTGAAAGAAGTGATCAAAAAAAGAAGAAAAAAAAACAGTGATATTGTGAAATATTATTACAATTTAAAATAAATTGTTTTATATTTGAATATATTTTAAAATATAATTTATTCCTGTGAAATTTGAGCCTCATTACTCCAGTCTTCAGTGTCACATGATCCTTCAGAAATCATTCTCATATGATGGAAACAGTTGTGCTGCTTAATATTTTTTGGAACCGGTGATACTTTTGTCAGGATTCTTTGATGAATAAAAAAAAAGTTTAAAAAGATAAGCAAAAGTTAAGCATTTAAAAAGTTAAGCATTTATTTAAAATAGAAATCTTTAGTAACATTATACACTACCGTTCAAAAGTTTGGTCAGTCATTTTTTTTTTTTTTAAAGAAATTAATACTTATTTTTAGCAAGGGTGTGTTAAATTGATTAAAAAAGTGATAGTAAAGATTTATATTGTTAGAAAAGATTTCTATTTTAAATAAATGCTGTTCTTTTTAACGTTTTATTCATCAATGAATCCTGAAAAATCTATCACAGCTTTTAAAAATATGAAGCAGCACGACTGTTTCCAACATTGATAATAAATCATCATATTAGAATGATTTCTGAAGGATCATGTGACACCGAAGACTGGAGTAATGATGCTGAAAATTCAGCTTTGATCATCATTGTAACAATATTTCACAATATTACTGTTTTTCTGCATGATGGATCAAATACATTTAGCCTTGGTGAGCAGTAGAGACTCCTTTCAAAAACATTTTTTTTAAAACTGTAGATACAGTACACATTTTTGTGAATCATTTTGCAGATGGTGAGGGCCCTTAAACTTTCGCAGAAATAAAATGGTCACATTAAGCTAACTTCTGCCAGTGGACAACTTTGCTCCGAGGCTCCCAAAGTCACGTGAACCCACTTGGTGAAATGACATTTAATAAATACTAAGACACAATTCAGACGTGTCAACAGCGCCCTTTATCAATTATGAACGCTACCTTGCAGAGTTCTTCAGCACCTGACCACTGAAGATATATTTAACAGGACTAATTAATGTCAACTGAATGATCCTGTTTTTAGAGGCTCGTTTAGATTCAAAAGTATACATTCATGGAAAAGCACTTGTGAGAAATATTGGTCTCCAGCACCTGTTCCATATGAAATTTATAAACCAATTAGCACGCATTTGCTTAAATCCTGCAAAAACAACTGGTGTAATGCAAATTGCATGACTTCACAAGTCATTTAAAGGTATCTCTAACCTTTAACTCTCTCAGCCGCAATGACTCATGTACAAACACACACATGCACCGCAGAATATGGCTCACACACTGTGTCACTCAGTCAAGGTGCCTGGTGTTTGCTCTGAGTACACATGAAGGGCTTGGACAGCCAGCGCCTTTGGATAAGAACATGAACAAGCCACACTGAACTGGGAGCAACTTGACCATTCTTGTGTGTAAATCATCTAGACTTGAGTATGGAAACCTTTCAAAACGTTCTTTTCAGGAACAGCATTTCATTCTCTCAATGAGAACATGAGCTGAGCTCAAACTCTATTGCAAAACAAGGAAGGAAGAGATGTGAAAATTTGGCATGAAAAAAACTGCCAAAACTAAACACAGACATACTGAATCAGCAATTTAGTAGGAAACACAAACCAGCACCGTTTTCAGTTTAGCTTAGTAGAAACTTGAAATGCACAGCATTGATGATGCGTTTCTTTAGTTTCAAAATAACAGAAACAAACTCACTCATACTCACTTTTCTGTGCCAGGTGCATTTTTCCCACTGGACATGATGGAGTATTTCGTCTTGTTTGCTGTCCTCCTCTGGGCCTTGTGGCCACACACACACACACCTGTCTCGAGGTCTCAGACTCCCTGTGAAGAGCTTTCCTTCAGGTCTCCAGTGGAAGTCCTCTCTCTCACTGTGCATGAAGGTGATGCATTGATGAGGAGAGTTTTGAGACTCGAGCTGGCAGGGAATATGGATCAGTATTCGGCTCGATTGGCAGAAGTGGTGGGTGTGTGTGTGTATTATGTGATGTGAGAACACACACAGCTCTCTCGAGTCGACTCCTCCTCAGAGATCAGTGTGAAAGGGACAGGAGTTCGTAGCGCCATCTAGCGGTAGGGTGAAGGAGGTGCTCGCATGTGACACGACGCACCAAACAATATGTAATTGCTGTTTCGTGGTAATTATTCAAGATATTTACTAGCGGTTTCTGGGGGGAAATTGTTCTCTAGCCTTTTTTCAAATAAACCCTTTATCAAATTGTTTTCAGCAGGGGTGGTTAGGATTTCATCTTTAAATCGACACGACTATATTACTAAAGTAAGGCTACTGGTAGGCTACTTAAATTGGTACCAAGTCAATACAAACATTTTTTTAAATGATATAATAATACGAGTCTTTGTGCAATACAGTTCAAATTGGCACTGTTTGACTAACAGAAAATTGTCATCATATCATTATTAGTAACAAATATTAATGTTAACTAAAAAAAGAAAGAAAGTCTATTTCCTCTAAGGATTTTTGTTTTAGATTAGATATTTAAAGGTGCTGTATGTAACTTTTTCACTCTACTTAAGCATAAAAATACCATAATATGTTTGCTTATATTGAGGAAACATGATAAGTTCATATACTTTACATACTAGTTATTTTACTTTGAAATGTGCGTTTCCAGGCTGGAATGTTTGTTATGGTTTTGGTCTGTGATACTGTTGCCAATTTGGCAATTTTCATTGTCCATTGCGCTCGTTCCTGTTGTGTGTGCTCAAACTGGCAACTCGTGTGAGAGATCGAGTCTGAGGAGCAGGAGGCGGGAGAAATTATGATCTCCAAAAAAAATTATTGGACTGCAGTAGCAACCTATTTCGGCCACTAGTTGTCATTCTTACAGACTGCACCTTTAATTATGCCCTACCAAAACATTTGTTGCTTTTGACATATGTAACCATACAATACCAACATTTTAGACTCACAATTCTCCATTCCAATTTACAATCACAGCAAAAACGAATACTAGTCTAACTAATATAAAGTTCAAACAATAAAAACAAGTAAACAGTGAATCCTAAAATAAGAAAGAGTAATAACATTGCAACAGCACATAAAGAACAGAGAACAAAGATACAAATTAAATAAACAGTAATTCACAGCGCTTGTGAAAACTGTATGAAGTAAATATAGATACACATTAAAGCTAATTAAGAGCAGTGAGTTATTCTCTCTTATTTGTTTGTTTGATTAACATTATTAACATAGGGTAGGCCTTAATGAGGCTGCTGTCACTTTAAGAGCTAATGCACATATTCATTATATTAAGACACATTAGATTTTTTCTTAACTGTTTACGTTCACTTAAGACTATGTCTACTCGTCAAGATGGGTATTTTGACATAATTCTGTGTATTTGCCCAAGAAGAACTCAATTACTCGCGTGCTGCTGCTTTCTGTGATTCAGGTGTGTGTATGATCGTAGTTTAAGGGGGGCTGAGACCACAGACAGGGTCTAAAAAAACAGTAATTACTTTTAAAAACTGTGTTTTTAGACCCTGTCTGTGGTCTCAGCCCCCCTAAAACTACGATCATACACACACCTGAAAACTATGATCATACACACACCCAAAAGACAATGCAGCTTCAGCACAACACATCTAAGAATGTTGATTTTATGGATTTAGCATTTAAAATTGCAAAGTGAAGACAAAGACATAAATAAATTAGACGATGTATAAACACAGGGAACAATAATATTATACAACCATTTTTAAAAGACATTTAAAGATACACAATTAAAAAAAAAATTTAAACACCAAAAAGTATATATTTTATTCCAAAACAATGAATATGGAATGTTTTCCTGAATATCTTTCTGTTCTTTACACCACCTCCAACATCGTTAGTATCTTTTGACGTCAATCCACGTCATGCATCGAGCTGTCAGTCATGTTGCGGTATCACAACTTTATAACACTAGAGGACAGCAGAGTCCTATGAGACATGAAGCTGTTCTTTACTCCAGTTGAATGGCGATAGTAAGAATAGAATTAAATATTATAATAGAGCTGTTTAGTCAGAAAACCAACACAACATTATGACCACACAATCTTTTTAAATTTAATATATTTTGGACTTTATTCATCTATCATTTTTCAACCCATGATTTGTTCACTCTCTAAAGTGAATCCATCCTCATTTGCAAAATCATCTTGCAACTCTAAAAAAAAACATACAAAATGGTTTAAAAATGTCCTTGCAAGACACAAAATATGATCATGTGATTTGCAATAATGTTAGGTTGCATGTACATTAGTGGAGCTGAACTTAAAGAAATGACAATCACCAACAAGTTGAAATATTGCCTTTATAATTATTTTCAAAATAAACATGTTACATGAACATTTTAGATGTGGTTGTTGTAAAAACTCTATACATCACAGACTTTAACGAGAAAACATTGTGCTTTGCTATGAACAGGCTAAATGGCTTGTAAAAAGCTCACAATAAATTACAATCAGCAACTTTTGATAGAAAACATTTGGCCTTTTTTTGGTCATTGCACATATAACGAGTAGGAAAACCTTTCAGTTCACAATTACAAAAAAAAAAAAAAAAAATGCCATGGGTGTATTGCAATTAAACAAAGCATTCTGTTTTTAAATAAGAAAACATATTGCATAGGCAAAGTAAAAAAGTAAAAATAGTCTCAGGGAAACAATAAGCATTAAAACAGCTAAAACTGCTTAATTTAACATAACTATAGTAAAAATGGGATCTCTCAAAACTCTCAAATTTTAGGCTTAACAGTCTGAATAGTTTTGTCACTCAAGGCATTCAGAGCGACTTGCAAAGTCTGTTTGATACATTTGGAAATGGTTGAAGAAGTCACAGTGATGTCGTTTTGATCCACCTCATCCTCCGTAACAGAGGAGTCATCAGACAGATATTTCAGTCAAAGTGAGACATTAATCAGCTTAAGCTTTAGACCCTATTTTACAATACAGGATCATGGACACAATCATCGCCGCAAGCTGAAAATGAGAAAGAGAGAGAAATAAATACCATTAACGTCACAGAGATTCATTACTGTCATAAAGGGCTTTGTATATATAATTATATAGTTACAGTTAGGTATATTACGTTTGTAATTATTCTCCTAACAAAGGAAATAAATGCATTACCCATTAAAGATAACAGAGAATCAAAATTTACTACATTTATTTTCTTAAGGGAGCGTCCGCACAATTACACCGCGTTACTTTTACATGGTTTTTCAATGTAAGCACGTGCTAGACGGACGTGTTTGACATTTTTTGCAGCATCAAAGAAGTTCAAAGAAGATTTTTGAAAATGTCTCTCAAATGTATCATCTTTTTTTTTTTTTTTTTTACCTGCGTCTCGTTTTTTTTTAACCCAAAAAACATCCGGCCCTAATAACTGTCTTTGGTCTTATTTGGTACATGATTCATTAGGCGCATTCTTTTTTTTTTATATATATATACAAAGAAAAGATGCTTGTTTTTGTAATCTTTCATAGAAACGTGAATACATTTATACACGTCTGATTTGGACACATAAGCCTTTTTTTCTTTTCTTTTTTTACACAAAACTTAATTAAAATTCTAAATATATACATTTTTTTCTAATGGGATAACTGAAAATCAAATTTATGATTGAAATTGCAAATTTATATCTCCCGATTCTGGCTTTTTTTTCTTTTCTTTTTTAATTACGAGTCAACTCAGAATTGCAAGAAAAAGTCAAATTATTAGAAATAAACTCGCAATTGCAAGTTCTTAACTACGAATTGTGCGATATAAACTCACAATTGCGAGAGAAAAGGTCAGAAAGGTGAGTTTATAGCCTATCTAGTAGTTCTCAATTTTTTTTTCAGAGAATTGTGAAATATAAACTCGTAAATACGAGAATAAAAAGTCAGAATTGCGAGATTATAGCCTGAATTGTTTAGTCTGAATTGTGAGATAGAAACTTGGAATTGCAAATTATAAACTCCAAATTGTGAGATATATAAAAGTCAGAATTGCGAGTTTACAGCCTATCTAGCAGTTCTCACTTTTTTTCTCAGAATTGTGAAATATAAACTCAGAATTACGAGTAATTAGCCTGAATTATGAGATAGAAACTTGGAATTACGAGAAAAAAGTCTGAAATGTAAGATAGAAACTTGGAATTGCAAGTTATAAACTCAGAATAGTGGGTTTATAGCCTATCTAGCTAGCCTGGGAAAACCCAGACAACTTCCGGCAAATTTAGATTTGCTCTGAAAGTTAGTCTGGCAAAGAGCTCATTCAAGCCCATTTCCAATCCGTCGAAATCGAGGCACCAATCAGAAACGTTGGGGCAGGCTTTACACGATGACGTGGAAAGTGACTGTGATTTGTCTATGACGCTTTGCCAGACCTCAGTTACAACTGAGAATGGTCTGGTTTTAACCAGGCTACTATCTAGCAGTTCTCACTCGGAAATCGGTTCTTCACTAAACTCGTAATTACAAGAAATAAATCTGAATTGTGAGATATAGCCTAGGAATTATAAGAAAAGAGTCTGTTCCCTTTCGAAGTGGAACTCAACACTGCGTCTTGGATTGACGCTATATGGGAAACATCACCAGCGCAACCAGTGTCTGAAACACGTGTGTAAACACAACTATTTGATTGGCCGACGACAGTCCATGACGTCAGTACCGGGGAGCGTCCGTGTCTTCAGAAGCCGCTTGTTTGTATGCGCGTGTAACATAAACGCTGGATGCGCTCATTGCGTTGCATTCGTTATAAGCTGTGTTCTTGCTTTATTCTCTCCCGAGGGATGAGAATATAGCGTTTGCACGGAGTGCGACAATAAAATTGTCGTATTTACACACATGCTTCAGACACCACTGATGATGTTCCCGAAAGCATCAATCCAAGACGCAGTGTTGAGTTCCCCTTCCCACGGTTAAAGTCGTAACGTGATACGAACTGGGAGATATTCACTCGGAATTAGGGGGAAAAAGTCTGAATTATTAGATTAAAGGTCGCAATAACCTTTTTAATTTTCTATTCATTGCCAGAAACAAGCTTCCATAGTAAGCAGTATGAGATTTCCTTACTTTTAAAATGATTGACAGAAATAAAGTGTTTAGTACCTCAAGAGCAGCGATGCCCAGTGCGACAGCTATGATGACAACTACATTATCGTCTACCAGCTTCCTTAGTGCTGGGAAACAACCTGGTACAGTCTGAGAGAGAGAGAGAAAAGAAAGATACACAAATATAAAGGTCAAAGAGTGCGCAAAACCTCTAGACTGCATATGAAAGAATATAAATATTGTCCTCACCGAATTCATGGCTGCGTTCTCATTGCAGGGAAGTCCACTACAGCACTGAAATGGGTAACTCCTGGTGTCATTCACAAAGTATGAATTTGTGAAATCTGTATAGTTGTTGAATCCACAGCACTTCAGCTAAAGGAGAAGCAATGAGAGTCAGGTTTAACATCAGCCTGATTCCGTTATATTCCTTTTAAATCACAAGTCTCAATGTAAGAAATGTTCAATATTAAAATGGAAGAATTGTATGTATTATTTAACATGTCAAGGTTCTGTATAATTTTTTGAGTATGTGTCTGTAGTAAATCTGTATTGCTTTTTATTTAGCCAAAGTGTCACACAAACCCCTTTCATAGTCGTGTTCCATAGTCCGGTAAGGTCTGCGTTTTTCCCATAATCCTTTCTGATGCCTTTCACAGCTTCATCTCCCAGCTGATTTATGAGGGTTTCTGCCTGAAATATTCAAACAAGCAGGTTTAAGTGTTATGTGATTGTTTATATATATATATAAAGTGCCTTGGCCTTAAATGTGGCCTTATAGTATTTCCTTCTGCATGGATAAAGAGATCTGTGGAAAATATTATGTGTACAAACTTACCACAGGCTTAAAGACCAGAAGCACAATCGCTCCAGCAACTTCGGCGATGAAGACAATCAGAATAATGATGAAGAACTGAGGAGGAGAGACATTGAGAGAGAAACTGAATGAATGAACAAATATGAAATTAAGTCCAGTATATGGTGGGGAAACTGATATATATAGACTACAGTTCAAAAGTTTAAGGGTCATTGAGATTTTGTAAAATAAAATCATACTTTTATTTAGCAATGACACACTAATTGATCAAAAAAGGCATTTATAAAGTTACAAAATATTTCTATTTCAAATAAATTATGCTTTTTTTTTTAAAGAATCCTGAAAAAAATGTATTATTAGAGTGATTTCTGAAGGATCATGTGACACTGAAGACTGGAGTAATGATGCTGAAAATTCAGCTTCGATCACAGGAATAAATGACATTTTACAATATATTACAATAAAAACATTATTTTTCACAGTAATACTGTTTTTACTGTATTTTTGATCAAATAAAGGCATTATGTTCATTTTCCTCAAGCTTTTGGGTTGCATTTAAAGGTCTAACACTAATGATATTCATATCATATTATATTGGATATGTGATATAATAATAGATATCATATGTATAAAGACCAGCCAGTTAGTGAGGATTTTAGCTAACTAGACCTCTAGTTGTCTCTTCTAGCTGATATTGTGTAGTTGGAGTGGTGTTGTTGACGTACCAGCAGCAGCATACACCTGCTCTCTCGGATCGCTCCAAAGCAGCCCAGGAAGCCCAGGATGAGCAGCACAGCGCCCACCGCGATCAGGAGGTATCCCACGTTCAGGACCTGCCCCAGCTGACCTGGAGCTTCTGGGATTTTTTGCAGAAGACCCAGGACAGATCCACTGTCCACCTTCACCCAGATCCCCACTCCCAGAATAGCTGCTCCTGCCAGCTACACCACAAAAGCACATCATATCAACATTAGTCTTCAATCAACATGCCTAAGTCTTAAATGTCTTAAAGTCAGCATGGAATACAAATAGACAATTCTTGTTTTTTTTAAGTTGCAGTATTTTTTAATGATTTATCCGTGCACATTATTATTATTTTTTTTTACTTCATGTGCCTTCGTAATTTTTAATCTAAATAACTTCCCCTCCCTCTTCTATGGTGTGTTTACTGGCGTGAGGGCGGGGCAACCTGTCACTCACATGAGATCCACCAATAGCAAACCACAACCATCCAATCAATTCCATGTGGAGAAAATCAAGCCCCGCCCTACATTTGTTCTTGTTCAAGAAGCTGTTTCACTTATATATACACACGTCACAACAAAAATACGTCGCAACTTCTGTTTCATTCCGACTTTAAAGTCTTGATTTTGTTTTTGTGGTCTACTAGAATAGGTTTTCATGCTTGAATGTTAAAAAAATTATATTTTCCCCACATATTTAACATTGTTGCAGCACCTCTCTTCTCAGTCTGATCCAAAGAAAAACACAATGTGCTCTGATTGGCCAGTTCGAGTGTGTTTGGGAAATGTCCCGCCCCTTTCCACAAGCGTGCCGCACAAGTTCTTGAAGCCAAAACGTCTCGATCTCCCCCAGGTGGCCGGTCCCAGTATAGGTCATAAACCCCGCCTCCCCATGAAGTCTAATGGGAAGCGATGGAAACTAAACAGTCAAATTACACTACAAATACATTTTTTCCAAAGATGTTTTCTGTCGTTTGATGTAGTTTTTATCACGCTGATGTAAGTTTAAGTGCTCGTGTTTTGAAATAGATTTGGTCTTAGTTAGTATTTGATGCTATAAAAACGGGAGTGTGACGTCATGATTGACAGCTGTGATTGACAGCTTCTCTAAACTAAGTAGTCACTGAGGCACCAGCGGACTTTTTGGGGGATTTTCGGGAGGAGATTGGAGCTTCAGCTTATCCATAACTGTTTATCTCACACTGACATAATGAGTTGGTCTGCAGGAAACTGTACTAACGTATTTTTTTGCGTATGCCTTATGAGGGAATTATTTAAATGAAGAATATTGTTACACTGTTTGTTCCTGGAAGAAATTTAAGACTACAATGCTTTACAATGTTTCAGTGTAAACTCCCCTGGAGTGACTTTAACAGACCTTTTTCATGCTCAAACAGCAATATTATACTCTAAAGAAAGATTTACATGCAAAATAACATAATAGGACCCCTTTAAAACGCCCTCATTAACATATAGAGGCCCTCAAATGTATTTGGACCACTAAGTCACACTTACAATGCCTGTTTATTATTGTTGAGCAAGATATTTGTTTTGTCTGCACAAAAGAGGCACGTTTGCAGCAATATGATTTGCATCCAACCCAGCTTAACCACATGAAAATGAGATGATTTGCTTGTTTTTTCTGTTGTCTATGGGTCTGGAGAAAAGCAACCCCCTTCATCGCCCTTGGCCTTCAGTATATAGACAGTATAGCAGCTGAGAACATAAATGTAAATAGATGTTTTGGATTTAAATAAACTATATACAACAATAGATACATCTGTCTTCAAGCTAAACAAGGAAACAGTCACAGGCCATTAAAGCAGGTACCCGGTAAACCTGAAATGATTTTCATAGAATTATTTTAACCATAATCAAGCGAAAGAGAAGTGCAAATCCAGCTAGATGTCATCGGTTTATCAGAATGCTGAGGAACGTGTGCAACTCATGAATCAGAACATAACTTTTCTTAAAACAAGCATGAGGTTTACTTACAAAGATGATACCATTGAAGATAAACATCATGGTTTTCAAAAATCCAAAGCAGCCCATTGTATAGGATGGATATGACACCTGAAAAAAAAGAAGACAATAGTTAATGCTAAAGAACTTTTATAATTAGGAGACTTTTGTTTTGCCTGAACTCTCACCTGTTTTCTTTTTTTTTTAAACTTGTAAAATTGTTAACTTTTAGTTTTGAATGAATTTCGGAATACTGAAAATATAATAAACACAATTGCTTGGATGATTTTTGCAAGCCAAAGGACGCGGTCTAGGAAATGCTGTGGGGAAAAGATGGTGGTTTTGCTGTAGTAACTGATTTAACTACGACTCTCGTTAACCCCAAAACGCTGCTCTCGCAGGTCAGAGCTTCATGCAAACCTTGCAAACCCAATCGGTCACTTATACAGGAAATGGCTCGGTAACAAGTTACGCTCCAACAGTGAAAAGCTAAAATATTACACACACAAAGTCTCCAAACTCCAAAGATATGCCTCATTCGAAGTCTATGAAACTAGTGAAATCCAGTGCACACAGCAGCTTTCTATAGTCAAGGTTATTAAAAGTGAGATTTTATTAGAGACAAATAGTACTCTATACATATTGCATTATGTCTGTAATCTAAGGTTTATGGTCACCTAATTTCTGACGACTATAAATAAATAACAACTTTTTGTAGGAACTTGGAAATTGTTTCGTCAATAACGAAAGTTATTGTAACCTGAAAAGTCAGTGTAACCTGAAAAAGGTGCGTAATGCCTATACCAATACTGTACATATATACGCCCTATTCAGTTCTCTTTAAAGGTTAGATCCGTGTTTTAATAGGGCTGTGAATAGAGCAAAGGACCTGAGCTAATATTTAAAGAGTCTTTGAGCTTTTTATAGGGAACACAATGGGAGCGAGACAAAAACCTTCCTTTACTCTTGCACACTTAGAGCGAGGTCCAAAAATTTGAGATAAGAAGTAACAGGATTCGCCACTATTCTAGGTCAGTGAAAATCAGTGACAAAATCTGTGATTTTCTTGCTTTACATACATATGAATACATATAAATATACATATTATATATATATATACACTACCGTTCAAAAGTTTGGGGTCGGTACGATTTTAAATACTTTTAAAAGAATTCTCTTCTGCTAACCATGGCTGCGCTTATTTGATTAAAAATACAACAAAAATCAGTTATAGTATTAAATATTATTCCAGTGTAAATCAGCTGTTTTCTGTGTGAATATATAGTAAAGTGTAATTTATTCCTGTGATCAAAGCTGAATTTTCAGCATCACCAGTGTCAGTGTCTTCAGTGTCAAATGATCCTTCACAAATCAGTATAATATGAGGATTTGATGCTCAAGAAACATTTATTATCAATGTTGAAACAGTTGTTGGTCTGTCAGTTGTACAGTTTTTTTTTTTTTTTTTTTGATTCTTTGATGAATAGGAAGTTCAAAATACTTTTGTAACATTATAAATGTCTTTACTGTCACTTTCGATCAAATTAATTATTCCTTGATAAATAAAAGTATTGATTTCTTTCCTCCATAAAATAAAAATAAAATTCTCACTGACCCCAAACGGTAGTGTATATAACGGTAGTGTATATAAATGTGTGTGGTGTGTGTGTGTGTGTATATGTATGTATATATATATATATATATATATATATATATATATATATATATATATATAAAATTAAATACATTGTTACTATCTAAAAAATATTTATTTTACATGACAACATACCGCAATCTCTTACTTTATTTCCCGCTTATGATAATTAACGCTGTCTGAAGTTAATGTATATGTTGCTCATGTTGCCAAAAGAATGACTGCCAGTGACTCCACGGAAACAAGGGAGGGGATTTTACAAGAGCATTTCCTGTAAAACACAATGTAAAATCCTCGACACAGAACACACTGCACCTTTCAGAGACGCGGGATTACTGTACGTGGCAGTAACCTGATCTCACACCAACACAAATAACCTCATTTCATGAGCTACACTTCTGCTTGTCATTGTCCACCAATAAGACCATCTATAAGTGCTGGTGAGTGACGCATCACTTCCTGCTAGAAGCTGAGATAACGTATGAGGCCCTTACATTTTTAAGTAAACTTCGCTGTTGAAGTAATTTCAACTTAAATTATATTAAATTGATTTTAGAAAATCACTTGAATATTGTATCATATAAAAAAGTTGAAAATGACATTTTGATGAGTTAAAGCAATGTAAAAACATGTTGCACGACTTGTTGATCATATATATATATTTTTTTTTTTGCAGTGTATAGGTCTTTATATAGGTTTTTATTGCCGCATCCACAACCTTTTAAGGCCAAAGTAAATCCATAGGACACGTCTCAGATGTTTGTTCAGGCTTAAGATGAAGAGAAGCTTCTGATCGGGTCATTGTCCAAAGACAGATGAGATAAACATTTAAAAATCATCAATAAAGCCATATTGATGCAGCAAGTTTCACAATTACAGGCTGTCAGATTTGTCCGGAGCCAATAGAATAGCAGATCAGTTTTTATCGTCACTAGACATCAAATGTTAGGGACTCCAAACTCCTTTTAGGTTGCAAAATGTAATTTATTATACACCAGATTTTTATTTTATTTTTTGAGGGTGGAAATCTTAAGTCAGATCACTTAGAAAAGTAACAGCTCAAGTTGATTTTGAGGAAACATTGGACTGTATTTCGACTTTTCATTGAAAGGAATTCATACTTTTTTTCAGCAAGGATGCATTTAATTGATCAAAAGTGACACTATATTTATAATGTCACAAAAGATTTATATTTCAAATAAATGCGGTTCTCTTAAACTTTATCGTCATCAAATAATCCTGAAACAAAATGTATCACGGTGTTCACAAAAATGTTAAGCAGCACAACTGTTTTCAACATAACAAAAAATGTTTCATAACAAAAATGTTTCTTGAGAATCAAATCATCATCATATCAGAATGAGTTCTGAAGGATCATGTGACACTGAAGACTGGAGTAATGATGCTGAAAATACAGCTGTGAATAAACGACATTTTACAATATATTCACATAGAAAACTTCTATTAAATTGTAATAATATTTCACAATATTACAGTTTTTACTGTATTTTTGATCAAATAAATGCAGCCTTGGTGAGCAGAAGAGACTTCTTTCAAAAACATTAAAAAATCTTACAGACCCTAACTTTCAAATGGTAGAATGAATATATATATATATATATATATATATATATATAGTTTGTTTCTGTATGGGCACAAAAGTTGTCTGAGCAAACGTAGGATGAGATAATATCATAGTGATGTTATCATCTGAGGGTCAAAAGTCAGGTCACTGTTTAGCAGTCTGCTGATTTGTCATGTGATGAACAACTAAACCTAAAAACTTTTTCTTTTGTTGCTTGTGTTCCTGCAAAAAACACCAGCAATTTACTCAAAATCCGCCGTTTGCTTCCTCATTAAAGACAACTCAGTCTGTAAAGTATTATTAGTTTGGTCACTCACGAGACTTTATGACCAGCGAGTCCATGGTGACATACGGGATAAACAAACACGTTAACAGTGTGTTAGCCTTTGAAATGAAAATGCTTTTTCAGATCTGTGCCTGCGGGACACACTAGTATGCTTGTTTTTCCTACATGAAAATCATTCATAGGAGTGTGTTAATGTTTACTCCGCGTGTTCTGCGTGATTAATCTGGTTTTGGATCACCTGAAACTCGATACCTGAGGTAAATCACAGGCAACAGTGCATGTTAAAAAAAAAAAACGGTTGCAAAAAAGATAAAGTGGGTTATGTATGGGTGTGCATGGGACATGAGCTCGGGGGACTGGGTCGGCTAATGTCCCTCGGAGACTTTTGACAACATGCAACCTTTGATAGTGCAAGACACAATATACCAGTGGCTGTTTAATGTCAGGTTAAGTATCAGTTGTTCTTCATTTTCAACTGTGCATTATAATATACATAAAAAATGAAAATAAATCAAATTCACAAAAGAATAATCTTTGTTGTATATCACTGCATTCACATTTGAGGTCTAAACGGTTACTTACACCACATTACTGACTAAAGTCTCAATCACTCCTGAATGTCTAGTGAATTAATATGATTTTTTCCTATAAATATCTTCTCTCATGGTAATCATTCACTACCTTAGACTGTGTGTGTGTATATATATTTATATATATATATATCAGTCAAAAGTTAGGAAAAATTACTATTTTAATGTTTTTGAAAGAAGTAATTTATTTGATCAAAAATACAAAAAAAACCTGTAATATTGTGAAATATTATTACAATTTAAAATAATATATATTTTTATTTGAATATATTTTAAAATATAATTTATCCTGTGATCAGGAACTGTAATGGTGTGAAATATCATTACAATTTCAAATAACTGTTTTCTATTTTAATATATATTAAAATGTAATTTATTCCTTTGATCAAAGCTGAATTTTCCACATCATCACTCCAGTCTTCAGTGTCACATGATCCTTCAGAAATAATTCTAATTATGAGGATTTATTATCAATTTTGAAAACAGTTGTGCTCCTTCATATTTTTTATAACCTGTGATACTTTTTTCAGGATTCATTGATGAATAAAGTTTAAAAAAGAACAGCATTTAAAACAGAATTTTAAATAGAATTTGTTTTAAATAAATAAATGCTTTTATTCAGCAAGGATGTGTTAAATTGATTTTTAAAAAAAGTGATATTAAAGATTTATATTGTTAGAAAAGATTTCTATTTTGAATAATATACGTTCTTTTATTCATCAATGAATCCTAAAAAAAGGTTATAATCACAGGTTATAAAAACATATTAAGCAGCACAACAGTTTCCAACAGAACCGAGTATCAAATTATCCTATTGGAATGATTTCTGAAGGATCATGTGACACTGAAGACTGGAGTGATGATGCTGAAAATTCACAGGAATAAATTATATTTTAAAATATATTCAAATAGAGATTTCACAGTATCAGCCTACTGTTTTTACTGTAGGTCTGGTGAGCAGAAGAAACTTATCAGAGTGTCATGGTCTACTTTCAACAGAATTGTTTTACATATTTTGCAAGATATTGACTAGTTGCAGATCGGCCGATAAATAATGGCTGACATCATTGTGTGTAGGCTACAATGTGAAGATGTGAGAGAACCAGGACTTGTCAGAGTTACAGCTCCGAAAAACAGTAATGACTCAGAAGGAAAAAAAACTGTGAGGAAAACCCATCAAAACAACAGCACGAGTCTCAGTCAATCCGAACGGACATTAACGAAAACACACACACACGTTCAAAACACGCATTAAACATGATCCTGCGTGGAAAAGCTGAATTATATCCAGTCACACAGTAGCCTGCTGTTTGCAGAGGTCATTAACAGATTTACGTTCTTCATTTGAACGGTATTTTAAGGTGTAACGGTATTTTCACGATAGAAAAGCTCCACAAAGTAGAATGTCTTACCTTTAATGAAATGTGTGAGTTTTATTGCTTCTGTAAATCCCTGAGTGATTGAGTTACTGTCAGTCTACCTGCGCCTGTTGTTTTCTCTCCCTCTGTCGCTCGTGTGAAGATGGTTTTCGCGGAGAGGAGTGAACAGGTGGGAGTGACACACACACACACACACACAACTCCTCCTTTTCTCTCTGGAGAGGGAGAGAGTGGGCGGAATGAATGCATGTGTAGTCACGGAGATGCTAAGAACTCATTAAATCATCGGATTCAGTCTCTGAGGCACCTGACCTGAACAACACAACAACTCACTTTATATAAACAGGAACATGTTTCGTTACATTCACAGCTAAATATTAGTGGTTATAGCTGTGTGTACAACATAGGCCTAGTACTCATGTTTTATTATGAACGGGAGTGTAATGGATTAAGAAATAGAAAGAGGAAATTATGACATCACATGATGAAAGGAACAAAAGATTCACTCAAACAATAAACTGATGTCACAATCCTGGCGGATCCCTTCTCAAAGTTCAAGACAAGAAAATCAAGAAAGGGAATCCATAATCTACAAGAGAAATAGGCCTATCTTACACTATCTTTAAAATTAGTGTTTGGTATAGGGACCAATAACTTGAGTTGTGTAAAAAAAAAAAGTTGTAATAAAAGATAGAAAGGTACAAAAAAGAAAGAAAATAGTGCTGTCAAATCGATTAATCACATCTATGTTTGTAAATATGGGCTATGTGTATGGCTACATACATACACACAAACTTTTATGTTAATGCTATTAATCGATTTGACAAAATTAAGAAAAGAAAATTAAAAAGTTCAAAATAAAAAATGATAATTGGAAAGCGCGAAAAAAAATATATTCTAAAATAAATTAAACAGTTCAGGAGGAAACTAAAAAAGTTTGTTCCAAAGGAAAGAAGGTTTGAAGAGCTAAAAAAAAATACAAATAATTAAATAAAAGAGAGACCAGGAAAAGAAAAATACATTTACAAGCAGAAGTCATTATCGTGATACAGGTACATGACGTCATTGTTGCACCTGCAGACAAACCGGCATTTTCCCATCATCAGCCTGAGCCAATTAAACCGCGTCACTGTTGCTGGCAGCCTTAAATAAAGCTCAAGGCCGTGTGTGTACAGTAGGGGTGGAACGGTACACAGAAGTCACGGTTCGGTTCATACCTCGGTTCAGACATCACGGTTCGGTACGATTTCGGTACAATGGAGTGAAAAGCAAAGCAAAAATGCAGAAGGCATTTTTATAAATGTCTTAAACCTTGTATTTTTTTAAATAAGTTTTATTAATAAAGGCATAGAACCAGTTTATTTGTAGTGCACTGACAGTAGTTTTATATAATTAGTTTATTAATTAAATTATTAAAAAGACGAAAAGACCTTGAGATATGTTTGGTAATTGTACCTGAATGAATTTAAAATTAATTTGCTATTTCAGATCAAGATATTTGTTTTCCTTCATTTTAATTAACTAACTTTATTCTCATCTGAATTATAAATAATTGATTTCCGTATAAAATAATACTACCATAAAAACTTTTGTTAACAGTTGTAGGTTACAGTTTGACAAGAGTTTAGAGTGTGACAAAAGCACAATGTTGTGTTTTATTGCCAGTGTACACAAATATAAGTAAACAATTTGCAGTTTTAATGATGTCCTGTATGAAAAAAAATGACGGAGTATGTTTTTACGTTTCCACTGTTCGATCGCCCGTGCCTCTCTCTCTCACACACACACACACACACACACACACTGTTCATCGCGCGATTCGCGCCCGCGCCTCTCTCTCTCTCTCTCGCACGCGCGCGCACACACACACACACACACTGTTCATCGCGCGATTCGCGCCCGCGCCTCTCTCTCTCTCGCGCGCGCGCGCGCACACACACACACACACACACACACACACTGTTCATCGCGCGATTCGCGCCCGCGCCTCTCTCTCTCTCGCACGCGCGCGCACACACACACACACTGTTCGATCGCGCCTCTCTCTCTCTCGCACACACACACACACTGTTCATCGCGCCTCTCTCTCTCTCTCTCTCTCTCTCTCGCGCGCACACAGACACACACACTCCTGCATTGCAATCTTGATCGCAGCCTGTTCATTGCTGCGTTAACAGTCACACCAAAAGCGAATAGAGCGAAATTTATCGCTATTTAAGAGTTTTTTTTTTTTTTTTGTACCGTGTATTCTGCGTGCAAATTCGTGCACCGAACCGTGACGCCCGTACCGTTTCGGTTCAATACGAATACATGTACCGTTCCACCCCTAGTGTACAGTAGTTATGACTCAGCGCCTTCATAACACTTCAAACAAGGTCATTGTGCTTGCGGCACTCTTTAATCCGTTCATCCACTCCACCGAATCTTCCTCTCTTAATAAAACATTGCAGGAACTTGAAAAATGTAGGAATTTCATGATGTACAAATGATAAAAACGAGACATTTACATCAAACCAAACAACAACACAAATGAATGTGGAAACAAGGGGAACTTTCTTTACACCCGAGAGTTGAAGTAGGCCTATTCGATAACGCTTCCCTGTGCAGGGCAGATTTAGAGGCATTTTCACGAATCATTCATAAACAGCATCACGGGGTTCACACTTTCCATGGACCAAGAAGCATAAATGAAAATACAGCGCTTTGGAAAAACGTTGGCTTACCCAACCAAAGTCTAGCGCTGCGAGATCTACTTCTGTTTTAGTGCACGTGACTCAGAGCGATTGTGTATTTGTGGTATTTTGGAATGTTTACATGTATACAATTAAAATAACTTCAAATAGCTGAAATATGACGGTTGAATTACTAATGAACCGGGGAAAAAAACATCATAAGCAGGAGGAAAGGGTTGGTATTATCAACAGCACCAAGGTGAACCAAAAGAGGAAACACTAGGCTATATTTTAAGGTGACGTAGTTACACGTTACTACTGTACGTTTACTTACTATAGTAATAACAGTAAATTATGCATAATTACGTAACCCTAACCCTATAGTAAGTACACGTAGTTAATTAATATTACTTATAAGTACAATGTAACTACATTATCTTAAAATAAAGTGTAACCCCAAAATAATCTACATATGAACGCATGTATTTGCAGAACAAAATGTTCCTTTGCTTTAAATTTCAGCTTAACAACAAGATTGTAAAAGTTTGGAAAATTCTGAAGAAAATAAATAGGTGACACTTTACAATAAGGTCTCATTTTTAACAATAGTGAAAATGTATTAGATGTCATGAACAATATTTATTACATTTATTAATTTGGCAGCTCTTTACAATAAGGTTTCATCTGTTAACATTAATTAGTTAAATATATGAGTTAATATGAACAACACTTCTACAGGATTTATTATTCTTAGTCAATTATCATTTCAGCATTTACTAATATTTTTTTTAAATACAAAGTTGTATTTGTTAACATTAGTTCATGACCTGTGAACTAACAATGAACAATTCTATTGAACTAACAATAACAAAGATTAATAAATTAGTAAATGTTTAATAAATAATTCTAATGTATTGCTCATTGTTAGCTAATGATTGTAAAGTTTTACCATTCATTTTAGCCAATGTTTATTTCAATATTTATGAACACGTTTTTTAAACTCAAAAGTTCTAAATATATTGTGCATTATTAGGACATGTGAGCAAATGCAATAACGAATGGTAACAAATGAGACCTTACTGTAAAGTGTTACCAAAAAATAAAATGGTTAAAACTGATGTGTTGATGGTTATGTGTGTATGGGGAAACCGCACAACTGTCGAAGACCCATTGTATCTTAATTGATCTGTTAAAATATATGATGATATATAATAACATGACTAGGAATATTTCGGGCCACATACAAGGCTATTTCCTTACAAAAGTTTTTCAAAATGTGGATTGGACAAGACGATGTAAAATAAAGGGTTTTATGAAGCAGTGGTTTTCTGCAAGGTACAGCAGACGGAGGTTAATTATATCACCCTGATTGTATGATTAAGATATGGGATTAACAAAAAACAGATGTAAACGTTAATATGTTTGTTCATGCAGTGTCAGCAGAAGTAGTTCTGTTTTCCTGTGTCCAGCACGGGAAAGAGAAATACACTTTTGACAGATAAGAAAACATTGTTTTGATTCTCTCGATCAATGTCTCTCTGTGTTTTGCCGGTCCATTTGTCCTCTATTCGATTATTAATCAAGCAGGTCCTGATTTTTTAAAATCTTCTGCACATACGAATGAGTTTTCTCTCTCTTTAAGCGTCCTTCAGGTCGACTGTTTGTCTGGATGGCTCTTGAGTTTGTGGAACTTGACGCTGTCGAGTTTCTCGAAGCGTTTGCCACAGTGTTCGCATGTGTAATTGAAGTGGGCTTCAGACGTGTGTTTCCTCATGTGCCAGTTGAGTGACGCTCGCTGTCGACACTGGTACCCACATATCTCGCATCTGTAGGAACAGGTTCAAGAAAAAAACACTTTCCTTGTAAGTAACCACGTCCAGTATGACGTGACACTTATGAAACATGGCAGACGTGCCCATATGAATCAGTTCTTCCTGTGAACTCACTGTAACGGCGTCTCTCCCGTGTGTGTTCGTCTGTGCACCTCTAGATGATTCTTGCGTTTGAACGACTTGCCGCAAGTCTCACAGATAAAGTCTCGTACACCTGCACGAAAGAAGGTAAATATGTTTTTGATTACTGATAAATATCATTAGTTGATAAAAAAAAGCATCTATTTAAAGGGATACTCCACTTTTTTTTGGAAATAGGCTCATTTTACAACTCATTAGCATATTTAAATAGTCTCTGTTATTACACAGGAATGAGAGTATAGTTCCTAGCCATATCAGCCTAGAAAATCGCAACTTTACATTTTCCGTCGGTCTTAGTGCACGATGTTCTACAGAAGAGTCAAGTTTTAAATAGGAAAAATATCGAAACTCTTTGGTCAATTTTTTTTAGAAATGCTAATGGTCTTGTCCACTTCAATGATGTATGCTAAGCTATGCTAAAAGTGGTACCGCCAGAACCGGAGATCGGCTGAATGGATTCAAAAACGGTAAAACTCAACAGTTTAACTCTGGGGGAGTTGTAAAATGAGCCTATTTCCAAAAAAAGTGGATTATCCCTTTAACCTATGTGCTGTGTTGAAAATCCTTTACCTAATTTAGTGCACTGTTCAGGGTAAAAAAATGACCCGCCTTTTAAATTGCTTATAAATCTCTTGTTATGATATCTTATAGCCAAATATTAGATTCAATCTTTTAGTCCACTTGTTTTCTGATCTGACTGATCGTAGGCCTCATTGATCTGAGCTTATGCACCTCAGTGTTTGAGAGAAAAAAAGTTCACTCAAGCTTATTCGCCTAAAAAAGGTGCATAAGCTCAGATCAATAAGACCAATCAGATTTAAAAAGAAATATCAGTTAACTTTGACAGCCATAAAATACTAAAAGGCCATTTACATGTGTAAAAACGGAAAACTTTTTATGTGTTTTGGCCGTTCATTTACACGACAATGGTGTTTTGGGGGCCTGACAACGTTCGCAAACTTTTGAAAACGGGTTTCAAAGTGCACGCTTTTGAAAACGGTAGCATTATTGTCTCCATGTAAAATACAAAAACGTGAATCTGAAAATGCTGATGTCATGCGCATGTGGATCACTATAGTGTTTCTTTACAAAGTCACATCGCCATCTACTGGCCTGGCATGAATAATGCAGCGTTTTTAGTCGTTTTCCCGGATCCATGTGACAATGTTGTCATCTGTACTTGAAAAACGCAAAAAGGAAAGACTTCTCCGTTTTAAGTACATCGTTGTCGTGTAAACATACCCTAAATCTAAATATACTGAAAAACTAAAACTAGAAAGCACTAAAAAAAACCTAAACTTAAACTACAGCAAGAAACTATAAATAACAAATACTTGAAAAGTTTTAATTTGTAAATGCATGTAAATTGAAGAGGACAAACTGCACATAAGAACTTTAGTTATCATCTCATAATAAGATGTGGATAATTATAGAGTTAGTTTCTGGATTAACAGAGTAAAGAGCACCACAAGCACAAATAATACCTGAGTGTATGATCATGTGCCGATGAAGATGGTTAGACAGATAAAACTTCTTCCCGCAGCCTGGGTGAGGACAGACTTTGGTCCGGCCCTTCCTGTGCACCAGGTTCACATGATTCTGTCCAACGTGCATCAGAAAAACATCTTTTGAAATCATGATCCATCTTGCAGCCCCAGTACTTTACAAATGCTGCTCAACCGACATTCAGAAGACAATGTAACTACGTTTTAGAAAACTAGCTGACCCACATTTGTAATTACATTTGCATTTATTATCAATGCGATTAATCTAATGTGCCAAACATTAACCATCTCAATAAATATTTAGCAGAATTATATCCCAGCGTCCACAATATTTAACCCGAACCTGTGCGAAAGGAAAGTGTATTTTATTTCCTGTTGCTAAGGTCCACTGAACAATTAGAGAGTCTCCTTTGTAATGAACAATAAAACAGACAAAGCAGGTTTACATCAATGCATTTCACAGGGTATATCATTTCCAGTGTCTATTTGTATCTGTTTGCGCTGTGGCATCGGGATTCTCATTAGACATGCACTGCACACACATGACCTCACCTGGAAACTGCTAATGGCCACGTACACCTGACTGCAGCCTTCATACGGACAGTGGAACATCTTCAGCATGCCGTCTGCCTCGATTACTGGACCCCTCCGGCTCCTCTTAGACCTGACACACAAACACACACCACTGACATGACATCAAATCACATTTCAAACACTTCATGAACCCGCCTTATTCGTGAAACTGCGATTTGAAAGCATTTGAAAACAATACCATGTTTTGTCACATGATGCATATTTTACCCATAGACATCAACAGTAAATGCTATTTATTTTCACAGTGCTGTTGCTAAAGATACGTTACTTTGTACCATCTTCATATTACATTCCTGCAAAGATGACAGAAAAGTTACTCGCAATTGCTGTCCTGTGGCAAAACATGAGGGCAATTGAGTTTGAGTTAACATAACTTCAGCAGTGCTCGATTCAAACTATTTTATCAAGTGTGCCATTATCCATCTTTTTTCAATTGTGTTTTAGACCAATCATGGAATGGCGATTTAGTTTGACCTGAACGCACCAGTAAGTAGTGAGATATTTTGCTAATAAAATGATTGTGCCAGATGAGTAGTGTGAGAGCTTTATTATGTCTGCTCTCTCGTGTCATCATGTCACTGGGCTTTTATTACATTTTATGCGTACGCAATAACATAAGCATCTTTTCAGTGTGGACTAGAAACTTCACAAATGAAAATAGTGTTTTCAAAGGTGTCCAGGTTAACGTATATGTGGCCTATGAAACACGACGAGCCATAACATTCATGAGGAGTTTTCAGTCCGCTGGTAAATAATAAAGCACACTCCATAAAATATGATAGTTTGATTTTTTTTAATAGTGCAAAAACTAGCCACAACAATGATTATAATGAGTATCGTGGGTGTTCTGAGTGCTTGTTTACTGTCAAAAGAAGCATAATGGCCATGTCTTCTAATAAGCTTTTTCATGCATATATCAATATCTATATTTTTAGGTTAGAGGTGTATTAAAAGGTGTCATGTATGAACCCAACCCAACAATAAAATGCTGAAGACTCCCTTCACACAATTTCTTATTATAAGGAGCTGTTTAAATTCTTGGAAATTAGGCATGTGAACAAAGGCGTAATAATGGTTAAGGCGTGTACAAAATTATGAAATTATGTTTAAAAAGAATTAATACAGGTAATACAGAAATAAGATGTTTTTATGTTTTTAAAATTGCTACTGTGCCAAGACTTGACTAACCTACTGAGAGATTGCTGAAGCTTCTTCGAACAGTGTGTTTCTTCACCAGGATCTAACAACTGCTTCTCACCCAGATCTGAAACCATTAAACATCAACAGATAACATTGCTATTTTAAAGATCAAAATCCTTAAAATAGCTTATATGACTGACACTGGTTAAACTGACACTAAACTCATAAGGAAGTAGTTAAATGTGGTTAAACTGTTTGGAAACACACATTGCTAGAACACAATGATTGTCTTATGAGTCACGTTTAAGAGCTGAAATACAGGACAGTTCAGCGGTGGCCGTTGATAAACACGATTGGACAGAAACCTGAGTCGGTGTTGGGATGTGTTGTTGCTTCTGACTGGCACATCTGATTATACGACATGTCTCCGATCAGAGTACATGTGACCTCCTCGACATCACCGCTGCCCACGTTCAGCTGAATGCCTTCCGACGTCAGAGCCTCGTAACTGGGACCTGTAATTATGATCAGCTACGGGGAGGGAGAAATAGAGTAGAGGTGAAGTCACTCAAAGAGTTCATCAAAGTCTAGGATTTAACCGTGAAAATACTGTTTTGCGGTCGAGTGCCAAAAAGGACAAGAAGTATCATAAACGGTTCATAAAGCTTAAAGTCTTTCCTGAAGTCATGTGATAGCTGTGTGATAAACAGTCCAAATTGAACTTATTACATTTCTGCATATTCAAATTTCAGAGTCATATAGAGGTTTATGGTGTTTTTATCTGTCTTTTAACGGTGCTTCTTGCAGTTTGACAACCCCTGGCCACAATATTATGCCTTTAGCGCATGGAAAAAAGTCCATTGCAAAAATCGTATTGTGGAAAAAAGTCATACGTCAACAATTAAAAAAAAAAACAGTAAAAAAAAACGTCTTGATTGCATGTCAAGTTTTGCAACAACATGCAGTTGAGAAAAAAAAGACATACTTTCTGAGTGAGGTAGTTCTTTCACCGAAAGAACTACCCTATGGACTTTTTCTTTCACCGAAAAAGTGTGGCATTTATTAAGGATATAACAAGTTATATTATGCTATTTTAAAACCCTCTGGTCCTCTTCGGTCAAAAATTACCAAAACCTTTTACGTTTTGAATTATTGATTTTTTTTTGCTTTTTTGGAATGGGATGACACTTGGTGACTTTTGTTGTATTAGCTATGTGAACACACAAAAAAAATCATGGACATGATTCGGATATGTTAAAGGGTCGTAAAAAAAAGCCGCACTTGGCTTCTTCGCTGTCAAAAATAATCGCCATAGGAAATGAATGGGAAATACGAAAAAATATGAAAACTCAGAGAAACTTTTGGTGGTACAAACTACAAATCAGCCACTGTGCAGAAAAAGTGTACAGCAATGAAGGGGTGACACTCTAAAATATCAACAGTGCAAATAAGACATATCTAAATAAAAAAAACGAATAAAATGGAGAAAGCATGTCTTAAAAAAAACAATGTGAATCAAAATGCCTCTATGTCTTTATGCGCGCTACATTACACACATTTATACTTTTTACACTGGATGGCGCTTTTCTCACTTCAATTTTTTTTCAAAATAGGCCTGCCCTCTATTTTAATGTGAAATGTTGCATTTATTAAAAAATAAAAAAATAAAATAGAAACCTTTAAAAATTCTAAATAATAATAATAATAAAAAAATACATACAAATGATTACAAACATTACATTGGTTTTTCTGGGGGAAAAAAAAAGTTACATTTTAAGGCTTCGGTCTCTTTTGACCGGGAAGAAGCCAAGTGTGACCCCTAAACGAAGAGGACCAGATGGTTTTAAAGGTTCCATATTATATTTTGGAGGTTTCCTACAATAGGTTTACATTCATTCCAAGATCAAAAAACACTTTAATTTTCTTATAATATACATTGCAGCATCACCTCTTTTCTCACGGTGTCTGAAATGGTTCAATTAAAGGATTACACATCTCTCTAAACCCGTTCTTTCTAGAAGATACTCTGGTCAGATGGCCCAGTCTGATGTGAATATGAATATATTGATATATGAATATATGAATTAATGTGTCAAGGAGATTGCAGCTGATATTACTTTTGTTTTATCACATTAAAAATTGAAGGTGAAGTTTAGCCTTTTACTCATTTAGTATGTGTAATTTATCCATTACAGAAAAGACACTGGAAAATATTTTTTACATTTTAATCAGAAGGAACTACAAGAACTATTAAAAAAAAGGTATTACTACTTTTATAATTTTAAATAATTAAAAAAACTAGAAATAGACATTCAAATCAATGTATATAAGTATTATATATTATATTTATAATAAGTCATTAAGAAAAATTATTTAAAAAAATCTAGAATAAGAATTCAATAACTGCATTTTCTTCAGCGTTTACATTACATTTACGTTTACATAATTTTAAATTACTTTTCTAGTTGTTTGCGATTAAAGCGTTTTTTTTTTTTTTTTTTTACTTATTTTAAAGCATATTTTGTCTTATTTTAAATAATTTTAAGTCATCTTGTGATCCCCTTGTGCAGTGGTTCTCAACCCTTTTGACTCAAAGGCCCCCCAATATAAAGTATACTTGTGCATCCATATTGTATTATGGATCTGACATATGGGGCTTTGAGCCAGTGGAGTGTATTGAGAATGTCCTTTTGTAAAAGACTCTTATGTATCAGTACGGGTGTGAGCAATGTAGCTGTTTTGGGCGACCTGGGTAGATTTGCATTGTCCACTACCAATATGAAAAGGTGCATCATGTATTGGATAAAATTAGTGTCCATGTCTAATTATCGGTACCCAAGAAAATGTTATAATGTGCTTTTCCAGTTTCCAGAAAACATGGGTTTCCTGCATTCGAGTTTTATTGTGTCTCAATGGTTCCTCTAGTGCCTGGGAGGCTCAAAGTGTAGGTGATATAAGAATATTCACATCTATTCTGAATCAACGATTGAGAGAAAGAGCACAAAATGCATGGTACACATCAGTTCTAGATAATAAGAAGTTGAATATATATTCACAATGCAAGTCAATGGTGGTACGGGAGAGCTACATTGCATCTGTACATAACATACAGTTGGTACGATCTCTGTTATTGTGCAGATGCTCAGGGCACTGTTTAGCCATAGAAACGGGTAGATGGAGTAATATACCAATGACAGAGAGAATCTGTAGTTATTGTAAACTAAATAATATCTCTGTGATTGAAGACTAGAAGCATTTCTCGTATGATTGCTCTTTGTACATGGACCTGCGTAAGAAATATTTGAGTGATCTCACACTTGTTGGTGATGTTTGTGTTGATGTGTCACAGGTTTGTGAGTCGAAACATGCATGGAGACTAGCATTGTATATATATATCATCATGGAATGAAAAAAAGAGCATTTGTCATGCTATTGTGACTTTGGAACTATGGGCCGAGAGGCCATGTATTCCTGAAATAAAAACTAAACTAAACAATATAAAGTATAAAGTCAGAATATTTTAATATATTAATATAAATTGTATTAAGTCATCCTCCGAACATGAATAGTTTGCCCTGCCACTGCCCTAGTGGGTCTCTTGACCTACTTGAGATCCTTCCAGTGTGGAGTGCTGGTCCGGGAGCTCACATTCGCCCATCACCGTCTGCAGATCCTGGCGCTCGAATAGTTCGCTCTGTGCTGAGGCGGCCGTCAACGACGTGATGCTCTCTTCCACACCTTTTCCAGAACCATCATCTCCGTCCTCCCTCTCCCGCCTGTCCGTCAAGGGCGCCGTGACAACCATGCATTCATATCTCTCCTCCGAGCCCCCTCCACCTTTTCCCTCATTTTCTAATGTTCCTGAATGGTCCGCCTGCTCCGTGACAGGGTCCACCTCTCTCGCCGCATCCCGATCCGAGGCTTTTCCATCAGACTCGGCTTCTCGGTTCATGAGCACCTCCATCTCCCACACAGCCTGGTCTCCCAGACAGTGCTCCGCCGGGGCGGGAGGACTGCTGTGGGCCGCAGGGGATCCTGGGAGATCATTGAGGGATGTGCATGTCATCTGATGCTCCATTTGGGATGCATGTTCATCATCGTCTTCCAACTCATTGACTGCATCTGATTAAGATTAAGAAGAGATTCATTGTTCAATGTTAAATCCAATATGACAGAATGGGGGTTTGTGAGTTTATTAAATAATAAATAAACCGGAAAAAGTTCAGTTAAAACATCCTGCGAGTTTCATAGCTTAAGACATCCTCCTCATTATAAACAAAATATTTATTTAATCAAGCTCCAGAAAAAAGCTTGTTTTGATATTGGATGACCTGTGACATCACACATACAAATACATTTACATATGAACAAATGATATCATAGCGTTTTGTCTGTAAATCATGGTTTTCTATGGATAAATTGAACAGGAAGTCAATTATGTGCGCTTGCTTGACTTTATTTATACATTTAGATACTTTCAAACACTCCCAAGTTTACAGCATTTCACCAGTATTCTGATCAAATAAACACCTGAGGATTTGAAATGTTTAAATCTCGAAAGTTTCAACATTTGAAAGTGAATAATTTAAGACAATTATTAATTCTTATGTTTTTAAAGAGATACTACTACTACTACTAATAATAATATTAATAATAAAATAATATATACAATAATATTTAATATACTGTATATATATATATATATATATATATATAAAATAATATTTAACATATATATATACACTCACCTAAAGGATTATTAGGAACACCATACTAATACTGTGTTTGACTCCTTTTCGCCTTCAGAACTGCCTTAATTCTACGTGGCATTGATTCAACAAGGTGCTGAAAGCATTCTTTAGAAATGTTGGCCCATATTGATAGGATAGCATCTTGCAGTTGATGGAGATTTGTGGGATGCACATCCAGGGCACGAAGCTCCCGTTCCACCACATCCCAAAGATGCTCTATTGGGTTGAGATCTGGTGACTGTGGGGGCCATTTTAGTACAGTGAACTCATTGTCATGTTCAAGAAACCAATTTGAAATGATTCGAGCTTTGTGACATGGTGCATTATCCTGCTGGAAGTAGCCATCAGAGGATGGGTACATGGTGGCCATAAAGGGATGGACATGGTCAGAAACAATGCTCAGGTAGGCCGTGGCATTTAAACGATGCCCAATTGGCACTAAGGGGCCTAAAGTGTGCCAAGAAAACATCCCCCACACCATTACACCACCACCACCAGCCTGCACAGTGGTAACAAGGCATGATGGATCCATGTTCTCATTCTGTTTACGCCAAATTCTGACTCTACCATCTGAATGTCTCAACAGAAATCGAGACTCATCAGACCAGGCAACATTTTTCCAGTCTTCAACTGTCCAATTTTGGTGAGCTCTTGCAAATTGTAGCCTCTTTTTCCTATTTGTAGTGGAGATGAGTGGTACCCGGTGGGGTCTTCTGCTGTTGTAGCCCATCCGCCTCAAGGTTGTGCGTGTTGTGGCTTCACAAATGCTTTGCTGCATACCTCGGTTGTAACGAGTGGTTATTTCAGTCAAAGTTGCTCTTCTATCAGCTTGAATCAGTCGGCCCATTCTCCTCTGACCTCTAGCATCAACAAGGCATTTTCGCCCGCAGGACTGCCGCATACTGGATGTTTTTCCCTTTTCACACCATTCTTTGTAAACCCTAGAAATGGTTGTGCGTGAAAATCCCAGTAACTGAGCAGATTGTGAAATACTCAGACCGGCCCGTCTGGCACCAACAATCATGCCACGCTCAAAATTGCTTAAATCACCTTTTTTTCCCATTCTGACATTCAGTTTAGAGTTAAGGAGATTGTCTTGACCAGGACCACACCCCTAAATGCATTGAAGCAACTGCCATGTGATTGGTTGATTAGATAATTGCATTAATGAGAAATTGAACAGGTGTTCCTAATAATCCTTTAGGTGAATGTATATACATAAAAATATAAATAATTTAAAAAAGTAAATAGAATTAAAAAAATATCAAATATTTTATCTGTTAATTTCCATGTGACCATTAACTGTCATCAGCGAACAGTGAACATAAGAATATGTAGCTACATCATTGAAATATGAATCTAAAAATCTCAGGGGGTTCTTCCTTATTTCACATCTAGCTTTGACTGACAAAAAAAGGGTTTGGGCACATACTGAAACCAGTTTTAGATGTCCATACCCTGCAGCTGCCCGTGGTCTTGTAGTCTCCTCCTCTCAGTGTCAGCAGCTTTCTTCTCCGGAGGCCTGTCCTCCTCATCCTTCTCCATCACACTGTCCTCCAGGTCTGACTCAGACTCTCCTCCTGCAGGCCAGGGCAGGCACTGCACAAACGAGTGACCCGCCTCACACTGCCACAGTGCAGATGTAGATAACCCCAGGGTGGGCTCCAGCGCCTGCAGCTCAGGCTCATGCGGGCAGGACTGGCAGTGGCACTGGTACCAGCTCACCACGTCCTGCAGGCTGGTGGCGGACGCCTTCTTCCCTGAGAGGAGAAACAGTCTCCTTACTCGCTCCCAGAGACTAATCAACACTACTTCTCCTTAAAAAATTAATTCATACTTTTATTCAGAAAGGATGCATTCAATTGATCAAAAGTGACAGTAAAGACAGTCAAAAGTTTTTATTTCAAAAAATAACTTTCTATTCATAAAAGATTTCTGAAAAAATGTATCATGATTTCCACAAAAATATTAAGCAGCACACCTCTTCTTAATAAAAATAAATGTTAAGAATAATATATATATATATATATATATATATATTACAATAAGCAGAAATGTTTCTTGAGCATCAAATCATCATATTAGAATGATTTCTGAAGGATCATGTGACACTGAAGACTGGAGTAATGATGCTGAAAATTCAGCTTTACCATCACAGGAATAAATTACATTTACAATATATTCAAACAGAAAACAGCCATTTTAAATTGTAATAATATTTTACAATTTTGACGTATTTTTTATTTATTTAAAATCATACCAAGCCCAAATATTTAAATGGTAGCATACAGTGTCCAAAAGATTGGATAGGAATGTTTTTTTTAAAGACCCTACAAGTTTAATTAAACAATCAAAATATTAGGAACATATTAAATATATTTTTTTAAATATTTTAAATATATGAGGGAAGAACAAAACACTAAACGTGGCTCAAGTATTATTCTGACAAAATTATTTGGCAAACTAAAGCTACAAAAAGGCAAATTACATTTGTAAAAAAGTTTTTTTTTTTAAAGTATAAAAAAAACTTTCATAGTGAAAAAAACAAATCAGTTATTAATATTTTATTGGTTCTCTCTTGTTTTTGCATGTGTTCATAATTTCTTTGTATGATGGTTACAAATTTGGGATGTTTTTGGCATTATTTTCACAATTATTGTCTCCAAGGCTTCAGGCAACAACTACACAATATGCTTACAAAATATTCAACAATTTTTCAATAATAATTTAATAAAGGGTGAAGATTTTCCTAGGTCAGACATCCCTTTTGGCCACTACAGTATATTGCGAGAGGCTTGGGAAACACTACTTTTGAAAAGTAGTTTAGGTTACATGTGTACCTGTCAATAGATTAAACCGATATACTGCATATAAATATTACTCACCTTTCCTGTGACTGCTGCATTGTTCAGGAATGGATTTCCTCCTGTCCATCACAACACATGAGACATGTTTACACCATCCATGTTAAAGAGAAAAGCTACATGAAGGTTCAAGCTAACCAGTGACCACGGCTGTCTCTGGTTCACTTTCATTATATTGAAAACAGCTTCCTTTTTCTACTAAATATCTCTTTTTGTGTTTTACACAAGTCAATCAAACTCATTCATTACAGCAGAAATGAAAGGCAAAGTCAAGCACATTGCATTGTGGAATGCATTCATGTAATGCATATGGAAATATCCTGGTATACTAAATTATAACCATATTCATGTAACGTTACCACTTGTTTGCATTATACTCTAAGATGCTTCAAGACGCTACAATGGTACTATTATAGTACAGATTTCCATGTATAGTATACTATAGTATTATATTGTAGTATACCATGTGTAGTATGGTATTGTATTATACCATGTATAGTATAGTATAGCATTTTTCCAGGAAAACATGTCATTAAATAACATGACACTGCTGGGCCCTTTTAAGTTTAAAGAAATACATGTAAACAAAATAAAATAAATCAGTAAGGTAGAGCCTAATCAATGGCAGATTCAGGTTAACAAAGAACACTTGGAAGATACAGTAGTATCAGACAAGAGTAGTAGTTGTGCACAAGTTAAAGCCCACACATGCATGCATGCATGAATGAATTTATGCTACCTTTACCCAACTTATTGATTTTGAATGTTGCATGATCAAATATGGCTTTTATGGGTCACTTGTCAACTCTGAGTACCCACCTGCCGTATTTCTGCTGGTATTTTTCTCCATATGCCGAATTGAGCAGGATTAAATACTCCGCGAGCCCCGCGTCGCTCAGACTCGTGCGCCGGCGCAGCTCGCTCCACACCTGGTGTGCTTCTCCCAGATAAACGCGCCGCACGTCGTACTTCTTCCGCGATTCCAGCCGCCGCTGCGCCCGGTCCGCGTCCGTCAGCCGGGGGCGACCCCTGCAGCGGCGCAAAATGGCTTTAATTTGCTCTCCGGTGGCTTTCGAGTCGGTGTTTACCGCCGCCATGTTTTGTATCAGCTGTTGAGTTGTTATGTTTTGTCTTAAAGGGAAGTGCTGTGTGTAGCCTTAAAGGAAGTGGATTTTTTTTTTTGTGCATTTTATTTTATTCCGTTTTTTATTTTAGTTAGTTTTTTTTAATTATATTAATATTTTGTAGATGAATCATGCGTGTTATTTACGATAATATATATATTTTTTCGAAATTACGGCAAAGATAATTTAATTTCTATTTGATTCGACACATTGGTTTGACCAATCAACCGTGAGCTCTCTTTTATGTCAGCCAATCAGATGCGTCGTTCCAACAGAAGGCAGTGGAACGTCAAATTCGCGGGAGAAGATGATGCATGTTACCTTCACGTTGTTGCTGTTGTAGTTAACGAGTCATACTTTTACATTCAAATGAATAATTGCTAATAGCAGTCATTTTACTGGTATGGCTGATATTTTGGGAGTCGTTTTCAGACGGTTTGCACCAGGAACTGGAACGAGTGGTTTGGTATTTCCCTCTCGTGTAGAAGGCAACACGTTAGTGCTCGGGGACGTAAACATCAGGAGATCTGTGCTATTCCTCTCCGCCGTGATCTCTGCCACAGATCTGGGGCTCAAAGTGCTGTTTTTCACACAGACCCCTTTTCAGTCTCTACCGGTTTCTCTGAGGGCTTCAGTACCTGGACTAAAACTAGAGAGTCTTAAGGTAATAATAATGTTCTGTTTGAGGAGCGACATTAATAATAAAAAAAACAACAACAACAACAACACCACATGATAATTCAGTCAGACATGCGAATTATCGACATGATCAAAAGTTTGCTGAAAAACCTGTTGCACACAATATGCCTTCTGTCATATGATAGTTTATGCATTGTATTAAATAACAAAGACCTTTTAGAATAATTGTAAAAACGCCTTCTCTTCATGTCGTGAATGATACACGTCTTTTTGCTGTGAAAATAAAGTAAACGCTTTATAAAGTTAGTACTTCGCTTGAGAAAGCTAGACCAGAAAGTTTGAAATGGTTTTAACAGTTTAAGCTTTACGTTTAAAGGTTTTAAGTTTTAGCCTAGCAATTTTAAAAGATAGAATGTTCGAAAGAAAAAGAAAAATCATGTTAAAATGTATCGCATATGATTTATTAGACTTTTGAGGTAAATTTATTTTATTGTGTTGCATTTTATGTTTTAAAACTTCTGAGCTTTGATCATAAAACTAAGCATTTAAATATCATACTACTAGAGATATTATTTGCAGATATAAGGTCACAACTGATATTTATATGCATTTTATGTAAGTAATCTAAATACTGATTGATTCATTGATTTACATTACAAGCTGACATAATATCATCTTACTTTTTAACCATATAAATATCAGCATCTGCACCAAATTGGATATATTTACTCAGTTTGGGCCTCTGAATAAAATCAAGGTGCTTTTCCCCCTTCGAGTTTGAGCTCCATATTCCCACTACATCAAACCATATGACGTTTACATTTATTCATTTAGCAGATGCTTTTATGAAGAGGCAATAAACACAAGAAGTGCAGGTAATGCAAAGTTTCAGACATTGTTTAGATTAAAGAAAAGTGAAAGCATAGGGGAAGAAATGTGCCATAAAAGCCTTATGCATCAGCACATGCATAGTTTTGTTTTTAGATTTTTTCTAAATGTTTAAATAACTGTTAAACATAAACATTAGGTTTGTCTGGCTGTTATTATACAGGGTTAATGAGAGGAACATGCCAGATATAATGTGTTTTCGTGCATCTTCACTTCCAGAATGTGAAGTTTGTGTATGTGAAGACTTTGGAGGAGCTGGTTGAGGATGTGGCGTCTCTTCACGAGCTGGCGTCCGATGCCGCGTCTCCTCCCTCCCTGATCATCGTGGACGGTCTGGAGAGGTATTTGCAAGGGCCGCTGCAGGACGACCCGGGCCCTGTGGCTCACGTGGCGGCCCTCCTGCACGACACCGCTGCTTTCCTCACGCAGATCCTGCAGAACAGAGCAGACGGCCAGGGCCTGTGCAGGGTCATGCTCTCCTTTCAGAGTGAGTGTGAAGGCAGTCGGGACAGTGAAGTCCCTGATCTTCTCCTCTCTGTTCTGGACCGTTACCTGCAGGTGAGGTGCACCTTTGAGGAAATAGCGGGGCAGAATGAGTGGCAGGTGTATCTGTCAGACACGTGTCCTTCGTCGGCCCATCAGGGACAGCAGTGGCACATGGGGCTGCAGGCAGGAGGGGTTCTGGAGTTTCGTCCGGTCATCGGTGAGGAACAGCAGATTCTGGACCAGCGGGACAAGAGCAAACAGGGAAATGAGAGCAAATAAATGTTCATATTACAATATAACCAATTTTTATTTCTCAGTTCGACCAGCTATACTAGATTTATAGGAATGTTAGTGTTTACTTGTTAATTTGACAAAGTAATATAAAATTTAACTAAATACAGATATTTTGCATGTCCGCCGAAGTATTGACAATGTAGAAATTCCATTTGAATGTGTAAAGTTTTCTAAAGTATGAAACAAATGTCAACATTTATTTGTTGTATGCAAACTTTTTATTTATTTACAGACTGTGATTTGTTTACTTTTGATTACATTGCATTTATTAAAAACTCTTGCATTAACTGAAACCCAAAAAAACTGATTAGAGAACGGTTGTTTACATTAAATATACAAAATTATATGTATTTAATGTGTGGCAACTCGAGTGTTATTGGTGGAGCGGGGCACTGATTGCACACATACTCAGCTACCTTAATTGGAGTTCACTTCCCGACTACGCCACCTTGGGAATTTCACCCAAGGAAGTAAACGCACCCTCTAGAGGCACGTGCAGGTTCGAATCACCATTTGAGCCAGAGACATAGGTAATCATACAAAAACATTTTATTAACAGTTATAAAATGGGCATCAACAAGCAGCCACACTCATCTCATTAACAGGTTCAATTATTACTGGCAAAAGAACTGGGGGCTTACCAACAGGGGCAGTCTCAGATAGAATAATCACCATTAAAAATGCAAATCACAAATCACACTGCACTCACACACTAGGACACACACACACCGACTAATGTCAGTGAAGAGCACGACACACAGTGAAGGAGGCCACCACCCAGAGAAAGTCACTCGTCTGCCCCTGGTGCCCAGATCTGCCGACAAAAAGAGAGAGAGTAAGAGATCTGCATAAACTCAAATAAAAAAAATACTATAAACAAATAAATCCAGCGGTAGGGGTTCAGTCATAATAATATTAATGTATATTCAATGAATCACAATAAATAAATTGAAACAAATACACCAAACAATACCAACTGGTTGAAAACTGATTAAAAACATAAACCAGATGACAAAACAACAGAGGCTATAAAGCATTTCGAGGCGCACTTCTGCGACTAGAGCCAATTAACATGGAACGCTCATTGGGAGCACATTAGTCTCATGCTAGACACGGAACAGTTTCGTCCTGGAAACAGAACAGCAACCCTGAGACAAGCCGTAGAGCGTCGGAGCATACCGCACTTTATCAGAACGCCGTCATCACGCGCCTAGAACAAAACAAAAATTATTATACTGTCATTCGCTCTCCCTTGAGTTCAGGTTTAGCACATATACTCACGATAGAACATGCTGCACCAGGGTTTTATATCCCGAATTCATTGAGTCAGGCATCACTGATAACCTCAGTTGCGACTGCGAATGGACTTTAGACATCTCAAAGTCCCAGCACCAGCAAACACCACGAGTCAGTGGCTCAAAAGCGTCGGCGGTCTTTATGACTGGCCTTACATGTTGACATTCAACACAGGCAGCGGCGGCGCATCGATGACGTCACAGGCCCCCGAAAGTGACACACACCTACAGCTGGCACCTCATGTTTTTATACATTTATGGTCACAGCCCATTGGCCGAACCTTAAATTACGAATAAAAATAGGAGGGGTTAATAGTCCATCCTGCCACAAATGTAATAAACAACCATTTTCTAATCTCTATCTTAACTCTGCTACAGGATTTATGCATGTCTATTCTACATGTTCACAGCAGCGTCTCTGTATAGCGTTCATATATATATATATAAGGTCTGTAATTTTTGCAATGATTACATTGCATTTAACAAAAACCCTTTCTGCAAGCAAGTCTCTTGTTTTCTTTTTAGGTCAGAGCTGGTACTCTTTAGTACTTAATTTTAGGTTTTTAGAATTATTATATACACTAACCAAAATCAATCTATTTGACACTTTAAAGCTGCTGTCCGTAGCTTTTTTTGGGTTAAAAATTATCCAAAATACATATTTGATAAAATACATAACCAGCCAGTGTTCAAAACTATCTGCTTGCCTTAGCTCGATGCAAAACGGTAAGCTTGTAATAATGTTTTTAATTTTAGTGGTACTGGTGGATTTCCGCGGGAGATTCGAGCATGTCTTTGCGTCATTACGTCACATCTGTACACATAAAGAAGGAGTCTCGGCTAGTATAAGCTATATTGCTCATTACGTCACATCTGTACACATAAAGAAGGAGTCTCGGCTAGTATAAGCTATATTGCTCATTACGTCACATCTGTACACATAAGAAGGAGTCTCGGCTAGTATAAGCTATATTGCTCATTACGTCACATCTGTACACATAAAGAAGGAGTCTCGGCTAGTATAAGCTATATTGCTCATTACGTCACATCTGTACACATAAAGAAGGAGTCTCGGCTAGTATAAGCTATATTGCTCATTACGTCACATCTGTACACATAAAGAAGGAGTCTCGGCTAGTATAAGCTATATTGCTCATTACGTCACATCTGTACACATAAGAAGGAGTCTCGGCTAGTATAAGCTATATTGCTCATTACGTCACATCTGTACACATAAGAAGGAGTCTCGGCTAGTATAAGCTATATTGCTCATTACGTCACATCTGTACACATAAGAAGGAGTCTCGGCTAGTATAAGCTATATTGCTCATTACGTCACATCTGTACACATAAAGAAGGAGTCTCGGCTAGTATAAGCTATATTGCGTCATTACGTCACATCTGTACACATAAGAAGGAGTCTCGGCTAGTATAAGCTATATTGCGTCATTACGTCACATCTGTACACATAAGAAGGAGTCTCGGCTAGTATAAGCTATATTGCTCATTACGTCACATCTGTACACATAAGAAGGAGTCTCGGCTAGTATAAGCTATATTGCGTGTGAGGATGTTGGAGGTAGAGATTTATAGCCTTTTCTCACAGCACTTGATCCAGAAAGGTTCAAACGACGATCATCATCAGTGACAACTAGAGACTCACCCGCTGTAACATGCAAAAGACTTCGTTCGGACTTCGGAGTGGGTACAGAAAAAAGAGACTGCAACCGGACCCATGCGAAAACAAGGATAATATCGGAAGGACATTACATGATGTAGTCACGCAATGCTTGCTGACGTTGTTAACATTAACAATTTGAGAACATAGTATAGCTACTTTGCACGGTTTTGCGTGATATGATAACTTATAAGCAATTGTTAGATTTAATCAGCGCGATTTACTGCAATGTCAGAACCAGAACAAAAGTGAATGTTTCTTACTAGTTCAGATGACATTTCCCGGTGAAAATTCTTATGTTGGTCATTCGTCCAAAAAGAATAATCTGTGATTCTGAATGACAATATCCACATCGGCGCGGCGACTGACAGCTGCACACTCTCCTCAAACACTGTTGCTGCGTCCCAATTCGCATACTATCCGTCCTAAATAGTGTTCGAAAATAGAATTAGTACGTCCCAAATCGTAGTATGTTGAAATGAGTGTCCCAAAGAGACCCGGATGGTCTACTATATCCGGTCAGAATCCGAAGTGCAGATCGATGCGCACTCTAACGGCTGATATTGCCCACAACCCATTGCGCGTTGGACGAGGATTCGGCTAGAACTACAAACACGAATGAAAAGTGTTCAAAAACTACAGACATGGAGGACGCGCGAGTCCGACGGTTATGTAGAGAGGTTTAGATAAAGGGGTTTGAGACAGTGATTAATTATCAGTATCTAACCTGACGAAAATGTATTTATTCAATGTTGTCCACATTATATTGCATCTGCAGCAGCATTGTGAACTTTTGCAAAGATACGTTTAGCCATTAACTTTTAAATGCATTATTATATTCAAATTCCAAACACATGAGGAGAGTCTCCGCATGAAAGACCCACAACTGGCAGATGAACGTGCGACAACAATTCTCTCCGAAATGGTAAGAAGTTATATTAGATTGAATGGAGGATTTGAACTGTGACGAGATGATTGACAGGGCAGTTTACGGTGATAGGATGCACGCGACAGATCTGTCCGTTAAAGATGACGAAGTAGTATGTCCCAAAGCTTGCCTACTCTTTTGCTACACACTCAAAAGTATGAACTTTTTCTTCACAAAAAGAGTACATACTTTTAGGGTGTAGTATAAGTAGGCGAATTGGGACGCGGCATGTGTTCCTCCGCGCTGTGCCGTGTCGAGGGTGTTGAACTACAACTCACGTAAAGTTGATAATTCCGCGAATGACTGCAATTGCAGATTTCGAACAGAGATGGCGACAAAGAGGAAAAATGCCGGACTGCAGCTTTAATAACCCCTTTTCTCCCCTAATTTAACACGAGTTACTAGCTGTTTTATGAGTTAGGAGTCAGTTGTGAAGCACTTTGTCAAGCATTTAATTATCTGCAAATGCTCAAAAAAAAATTGTATGTCAGTGCAAGTAAGATTGTTTTTTAAAAAAACTACAGTTTCTTGAAGAAATTAGGGCCAACAATTAAATAGTTCACATAAAAATAATTAACTCACCCCCGTTACAAACCCTTCTTTCTTCTGTTGAACATAAAAGATAATAATTTGAGAAATTATCACTGTTATCAACGTCTCAATATTATTTTTCTCCATTCAATGGAAGCCAATTTTGGTGACCAACATTCTTCAAAGTGTGTTACACATATTTAATTAAATTTTTTTTTTTTTGGTGAACTATCCCTTTAAATGCATTAATTTAGATTGAGAACAGAAAATAAGTGTGTAGATGAGAAGTCTTTGCTGAAATGGAAGAGATCCCGTCGGTTTACGCAACAAATAACATTCCTTTTCATTCTTGAAAAAATAGGAGCTTTATTGCTGATAGAAAAAGTGGAAGACAAATAGTTATTTAGAAAGTGATTACTAGGCTTTCAATCTTATTGCCAATGCAATAATGAAATAAAACATCACTCAGTGGTCGTAGCATTGTATAGACAGGACTACATGTGAAAAGAATGAGTCTGAAATAACTTTTTTTTTTATCTACACTCTTAAAAAATAAAGGTTCCTCAGTGGCTTCGAGACACTTTAACATAAATGTAATCTTTCAACTGAACAAAAGGTTCTTTAGATTATTAAAATGTTTTTTGTTTTAAGAACTGTTTAAAGAAAGGTTCTTCAGTTGCATCACAG